TGAGCTCCCCCTGCTCAGCCGAAGGCAACCAGGAATCTAATTTCTACCTCTATTGATTTTCCAATTTTTATATAATGGAATCAGAATACATGGGTTTCTGTGAACTATTTCTTTCACTTATCTGTGCTGTAGGACAGTGGTTCTCAATCTTCCTGATGCTGCGACTCTTTCATACAGTTCCTCGCGTTGTGGGTACCCCAAGCCAAAAAATCATTTTCATTGTTACTTCATAACTGTAATTTTTCTACTGTGATGAACCACACTGTAAATATCTGTATCTTAGACAAACCCTATGAAGGAGTAATTTGACTCCCAAAGGGGTCAAGACCCACAGGTTGAGAACTACTGCTGTAGACCGCATCCGAAGGTCATTCCTCTTTATCGCCAAGTAATAGTTCATTGTATGCCTTTCCACACCGTCTTTATCTGTCCATCAATTGACATTTGGGTTGGTTTTGGAATTAATACTGCTACCATGAACATAGACATGCGAATATCTGCAGGCACCATGTTTTAATTCTTTTGCATATATGTATGCACAAACATATATATGAGGGATTGATGGAATATAGGGTTAGTATAGGCTGAACTGTTGGATAACCTGGAAAATTGTCCTCTTAAACAGCTGCACCACTTTATGTTCCCCCGAAGTCCCAGGTTCTTCATGCCTTTGTCAGTGTTCATTCCCATTTCGTTACAGGCCCCTGAGTGTCTCCCTAGTCACTGATGACGTTGAACAAGGCGCTGATGCGCTGTGTCTGTCGAGGCCCATTGCCCTCTTCGTATTTGCTTTTGACACGAGTGGGGGGAGCCCCTTGTTTCATCCTCTGTCAGATCTATGGTTTACAAGTATTCACCGCCCCCCTCCCCTGCTCCACTTTGAGACGGGGTCTCCATGTCAAACTCCATGACATCAGCATGATGTCAAACTTGCGGATCCTCCTGCCTCAGCCTCCTTGGTCTGGAGTTAGAGGTGGGGCACCACCACCACAGCAGCTTCTACTTAGTTAATTTTTTTTGAGGCCCAGAAAACTTAAATTTTGAGTAAGTTCAAGTCATTAATTTTCATCAATTAGTGTTTTTGCTGTTACAGGTGGTAATAAGACTTTACCTGCCCAAGGTCAAAAATACCTAGTGATCTTTTCTTCTAAGCGTTTTATCGTCTTAGCTCTTGGTTTAGGTTTGTGATCCATTTTGAGGATTATTTGTAGATGGTTTAAGAGTAGGGTCCACCGTCATTGTGTGGATGCCCAGGTAATTTAGCACTGGTGTTGGGAATACCACTTTTCCCCACATTAACCCGTAAAGTGTGGTCAATGGTCTCTCGACCTTCGACCCTATTTTATTCCTGCCTGCGCCAGCAGGCTGAGTGCCTAGCTCTATAGTATCGCGGTGAATTTGAACTTGAGATGTGTTCATGACCCTTGCTGTTTGTCCAGGTCTCTCTGGACACTCTAGATTTCTGTCAGTTCTGTGGAATTTTAGGATCCACTTTTTAATTTCTGCAAGAATGACAGTTGTGATTCTCAGAGCTTTGGTTGTATCTGTGGATAAATTCCAGTATTGCCACTTTTATAAAATTATACTGTTTAGTACAAAAATAAGAATATAAATGTCTTTCTATTTGCTTCTCTCTCCATCATTTCTTTCCATGGTGTTACCATTTCCATAGCATGGGTCTTGCACCTTTTTTTTCTTCCTTTGTGATTTTACAGCTTTCTTAATTTTCTTTTTAAAATTTTAATTTGTTTTATTTAGTTTATTTTTATTTTATGAGCATTGGTGTTTTGCCTGCATGTGTGTCTGTATGAGGGTGTCAGATCTTGGAGTTGCAGACAGTTGTGACCTGCCATGTGGGTGCTGGGAACTGAACCTGGGTCCTCTGGAAGAGCAGCCAGTGCGCTTAACCACTGAGCCATCTCTCTAATCCTACCCAAGCCTTCTTATGTGGGCTCCAAGAAACAAACCTAGGCCATGTCAGGCAAAGGCTTTTACCCATTGGGCCCTTTCTCCTGCCCTTTTAATGCTTGACAGGTGATTTACGGTGCTGTACAGAAAGACCATTGATCGGCTTCTGTCTATTGCATATTCTGTGATTTGGCTGAATTGCTTAGCTCTGGTAGAATTTCAGAGCATCCCTGATAAGATGCCGCCGCCGCCAGCATATTCTTTCCCGCTGTAACTTGGATGACTTTCTGGCTAGAACTTGAAATACCCCACGGCAGCGTTAAGAGTGCATATCCTTGTGTCTTTTCCCTGTCCTGCAAGGAAGAGGCACCAGTTTCAGCTCTGAGCCTGAGACTGGCCCTGCAGCTGTCTAGGTGACCCCTGTCGTGGGTGGAAGTCCTCTTCCTGGGTTGTTGAGTTCTTTCTAGAGTCTTTCTGCAGAATGTGGTGTGTGGCTTTTATTCTCTTGGTAGGTGCTATGGTATACTGATTTTGGTGTGTTAAAGGAGTTTGCATTCTTAGGACAAACCCGTGTGGGCATGGTGTGAGTCCTCTTATGTGTTTCTGAGTCTAGTTGATTGGTATCTATTGAAGACTTTGCATTTAGTCATGAGAGATGCTAATCCTTGGTTTGTTATTCCTTTGGTTTCTCTGTCTGATTTTTGTTATCAACATCATACTCATAAGTGAAATACATAATTCTAATTTCTGGAAGTGTTTAGAAGGGATTTCTACTAGTTCTTTAAATATCTAGCTTTTCAGAAAGCGCTTCTCTTAAAGGTTTGCTGGTCCTCTCAATTCTGCTCTCTGTCTCTGCCGTCCTCTGGGGATCGCCTGGGAAATACGCGGCCTCGCACGCTACAGGGTGGCCTCTGCTGACCCTGCTGTCTCTATTCGTCTTTTTCAAGCAGCCTGTGATTCTCTGGCTGACACCGTGTTCAACACCGTGTGGACCCTGGGCTGCCGACCCTTTATGAACAGTCAGCGGGCAGCTTGTATCTGTGCGGAGGAGGAGAAAGAAGAGCTATGAAGACGAGATTCTTCCAGGCTCTGAGTGACTCCCCCACTTCGTTTCTGAGACGCTCTTTCTACCTTTGGAGACTGCGAGTTGGAGAAGGGAGCCGGCACGCCTTGTCCTTTGAGGAAAGTTAAGGAAAAGAGATGCAGAGGCTGAAGACTGTCCACTCCAACACTGGTCTCCCAGACAAGACACGCGTGCCTGGAAATTCAGTTCTTAGAACAGCAAGCAGATCCCGTCATTCACAAATGAAATCTGGGCAAGCCCAAACATTTGGGAGACAAGGACTTTCCTCTGGCCCCTGTTTCGGTTGCCAGTCAGCACCTCACATTTAATAAAGTGCACTTTTTAGAAAACTTGAAGAGAAATGAATGAATTCCGTTCTCAACGATAGTTCTATTTCACTTAATGGGAACAGAATCTGGCCTGGTAAGTTCTGCCAATGGGCATTCTCATGGGTACTCCAGAGGCAAAGGTAGAAGAATGGAGGTAGGTTAGAAATAGGGCCCCTAACACTCCACTTCTCCCTCTAGTGGCCTGACCCGGTTGGGTGCTCACACTCCAAGCTGTGTGAGTCATTTGAAGACTTGAGATGTGTCTGGTTAGGGGTAGAAGATATGCTTACCGTAACCTGGCAGGGAGTGACAGGCTATTCCCTAAACTGTGGTCCTCAGTACTGGCTGTGGATTAGGAGTTCTTGTGGACCCTTTAAATGGAGCCAGCCAAGACTCTGTAGGCTGTTCCTAAGCTGCTTAGGACAGTCTACAGGTATTCTATTACCCTGAGAAGGTCACCAGCCTGGATCATAATGAGCCAACAAGGTCACACAGGTCAGCTTCAGTCCAAGCCCTGCTGTTTTGTTTTTGTGTTTGTTTTTTTGAGACAGGGTTTCTCTGTAGCTTTGGAGCCTGTCCTGGAACTAGCTCTTGTAGACCAGGCTGGCCTCAGACTCACAAAGATCCACCTGCCTCTGCCTCCCAAGTGCTGGGATTAAAGGTGTGCACCACCACTGCCTGGCTTGTTTGTTGTTGTTGTTTTGTTTTGTTTTTTTAAGCCCTGCTGTTTTATGTGGCCATTCAGACCACAGTCACGATCCCCCCCCCCCCGTCTTTTTCTACTTGTTTATAGTTGCTCTCACCCTGTTACATCAGAGAGACAGGTTATGACAAAGACTGAAAAGCCCCAAAGTCTAAGACCGTCACCTTTGGTCATTTATAGAGAAGCATTTCTGATCTCTGACCCCAAATTCCCTTTCCTTCTCCCTTTCCTAATTTCATTAAGTTGAACCAGAATTGCCAATCATCCCATGTGGTAATAAAAGAGAAAAAGAAGGAACTGTTCATCGTAACCACTTTGAGAAAGAAAAAGAAAACTTTGTTGATCATATGTAATGTCAGGAGCTAACTGGAGTATCAAGGAGCCGAATTCAACTGCAGATAACATTTATCTTTGTAGTTTGATATTTATTTCAATAAAATGTATTGAGCACCTGCAAAGTAAGAGTATGGTATAATTTTATACCTTTTCCTATTGTCTTACCTAGCCGAAGAAAGAGAATACCAATGCTCAGGGCACACGGGACCAAAATTAAGTTTTGCTTATAGTTCAGTTCAGTCACGGAACTACTTACATGCATGCTGATAATTTTAAAAATTATTTTATTTCATATGTATGAGTGTTTGGTTTGCATGTGTGTCTATGCACCACATGCATGTCTGCTGCCTGAGGAGGTCAGAAGAGGCCATCAAATCCCCTGGAACTGGGGTTACAGACAGTTGTGAGCCACCATGTGGGTGCTGGGAATCAAACTCAGATCTTCTGCAAGAGCAGCCAATGTTCACAAGCACCTTCTGAATTTATCTTTAGGTGAAAACATTTCACCCAAGGCAATATGAAAACACTGAAAATTCCTATGCAACATCCAACCTATTTTCTCTTATACATTATTTTATTGATAGCTTTCAAATCTCCTATATTATTTCATATTGGGGTTGGAATTTTAAGACATAATTATTATATATTTAGGGGATCATGGGTTACAGTTTTAGTAATTAATTTCTTTAGGTTTGTAAATTGGAATGTTATTCCCAGCACCTTATTTTAGTGGCCCTATTATACCATAAATGAGGTATTTCATTGTAAGAAAGAAATGGAGGAAACAAGGGAGGAGTCCTTCCATAAAGACAACATAGTTCTTCAAATTCAGAAACTGATTTGGCCACATGGGTCAGCAGTGCTGTGATCTTACCAATCTAGGGACAAAACCAGCTAGTCAATCCTTTCATGTGGTGGGAGGGTTGTCTAAACTCACAGTATATGATTTAAGGAAGCCAGGTGGGCTGGGTGGGTCTCTGATGTTCTCAGAGCACAAAGGAACATGGTCCAGAGAGGAGGGTGGCTGGAAGTGGGGGCTAGTCCTCCCAGTCGATGCTGATGGGACCTCCAGTCAGTGTCTGGCTCCGAAGCCCAGCGGAGTCCTCATCTTCCCCCACCTCACGACGCACTCGGCGGTGGCACCCCTGGGCACAGCGGGAGCGTTCATCCAGAACCCCACAAACAAGGACGCGGCAGTGAAGAAATACCTCCTGGAGGGAAGGGAACCATGGTTAAGCTGTGGTACCAACTGTCACTGTGGGCAACAGCTGAGAGCCACCCCACAGGACCCCAAGTGTCATCTCAGCCACAACAGCAACAGCTTGAGGTGGCAGTGACACTCTTGTATTTATGGACAGGAAAGCGAGACGTCAGATAAGGAAGCTGTCCAGTCCACACATATAGAGATATTGGCTGTGTTGGAAGGGAGTCACGTGGGTGCCCTCAAAACCTAGACTCATAACTTTGGCATGCTGAAGAGACTTTAGGGAAACGGCATCTCCTGGCATTAGCTTGTTGGTCCTGGGCTGGAGTAACACTGGGGCCAAGTACTTCTGTTGTGAAGCAGCAGGTCCTTTCTAGAAGGATCTGCGTAGGGCAGGTTCAGCTATTGAGCTGGAGTTCTGGAACAACAAGATGGTTTGAAAGGACACTTGGTGGCAACGTGGAGGAGAGTGCCGCTCTGCTGAGCTTCATTTGTCACCCAGCCTCTTGGGACAGCCTTTTGCCATCCTGACCCTCATAAACACAGGCTGCTAGGACACTTCCTTCATGCTTGTTTTTCTTGTCTTCGCAATGTAAAAAGCTGCCTAATGTTGCACTAAATTGAAAGAGTCGTTATGTATATTTGGGGACCTCTTTCCCCCTTTATGACCATGTTCTATAAACATATCCAGCAAGCTGTTTTGTCCTTGTGAAATTGCCAAAAATGTATTTAGATAAAATCATGCTGAGTTAATGATTATGGCATACTAGCAGGTAACTTACTTTAAAAAAAACCCCAAGTTATACTGTTGCTGTTCGCTTCCTATGGCTTTGAAAGCTTGGTAATTTGTCATTTCCCATACATTCCACGTGGAACATGCCATATTGCAAAGCTGTGTCCTACAATTAGCATTGTGAGTTCTAGTCTCTTCCCAATCCATTGCTGCCGTTCTGTGAGATTCCTGCCTAAATCTTTGGTTGAACTGATGACAATACTGGCTTTCCCCCTTATCTGCCCACAAAGATTTCAAATTACAGTCCTATAATACTCTGTGTGCGCAGTCATTTTATGTGGGAGTTGGGTGGGGCAGGCTACTGGAACCTATATGAATGCCGAGTTTCTTGATAGTTTAACTATATTCTCCCAGAGGTCATAAGGAAGCTGACCGCAGACTCTCAGAATGTCAATGCATCGGGACAACGTGAAGGAAGGCTCAGGCGTGGGGCTGTGAGGCAATGGTATTCCACTTGCTTACCTTGTGATCTTTGCCCACAAACTTGAAGACGGGGACCTGAAAGTGCTTTGCTAGGTGGTCCCGGGAGGAGTACTGTTTCACCGAGTCATCGGAAACACAGCTGGAGGTGGGAGAGATAGCGTGTCAGATCTGATCGCCCCCGCAAAGGCAGAAAGCAATCCCAGCTAGGGCTTTTGAGCCAGGAGAGGTAAAGTGAGTTCAGTGTGCTGGGCTGCATACCAGCCTTGGAAGAATAAAGGGGAAAATGGCAATCCCTTCCTGGCAAAGGCATCTTCAGACCTCATTAAGCTATGCTAAGTATCATGGCTTCCCATCCTTCATTCATGGAGCCTCAGAGAGAGCTGTATGTATTAGAAGCACAACGTGTGCCTCAGAGAGACCCTTGGCTAGTAAGGTTGTTTTTCCATTGGTCACATATTGTTGGAATCTGGGTTAAGGCTCTTTCTTAATACTGATTTCCTATAGGGGACACACACTCCTGGAGGGGGTACAAAGGGCAATGAGTCATCTCTGCACATGCACTTAAACTTGTCACGTGACAACTGGCCTCAAACGGTTTAATTTCTCTTTTCCCAAATATGACAGCAAGCTGCCATTTCACAGAGTCTGTGGGCCTTCATCGTAGGTCAGTTTGACACATTGCTCTGAGGTTCCTGTCAGGGTAAACTGGGGAAGGACACAGTATCTGACACGCTAAGGCTGTGACTTACGATAACAAGGCACATTTTCTCCTAAGAAGCCAAGGACTGTCTTTGTGTGTCTGGCCCATTCTAACTCAGTTTGCAACTTAGTGCATGTTTAGATGTACGTTTTTCTCTTCTGTATGTGCTGAGGATCAAGGAAGAAGCGGCACAGCTTCTCTGGACTATTAAAGCAGAAGGTAAAATCCTTCACCCAGAGTCCAACTAGCAAATGCATAAGCAGATTTCCCCAGCATTGAGATAAGAGGTGGCTCATTCCCAGATAATGTAAAAAAAAAAAATCGGCTTCTAAGCTGACCTCAATGCACCAACGAGTCACTGTTCAAGGCACTGATAGCCACATGAGAAGGGGGCTCTGTAAGAGCAAAACAAGAAGCTGAAGCAAGCTAGAAACTCCCAAGGGAACTGGGCCAACCAGGGAAGAGAAGAAGTCAAGGAGTGTTGTGACCCACACTAGACCCTTCCCCTATCTAGAAGGCTGCAGTTCCTGATCACCTAAGAGGTGTCCCGGCTGCCATTTAGGCGGAGGAAGAACAAAATCTTGATATAAACTAGGGGAGCAGATAGGTTTCCACTGATGTCACACCTACAAACCCCAGTCCGGGACCTTTCAGTGATGCCACGGAAATCTCAATATTTATTCCCTAGACTCAACCCAGAATTTCTTCCCTTGGCAAAACTACCAACTTCATTTCTCATTTTAATTTTCGTGTATATGTGAGATGTATGCTCATGTTCATACGTGTGTATGCATGTATCTATGTGGGTACAGATGTGTGCATGTGTGGAGGAGAGAGGTCAATGTCGGGTGTCTTCCTGAGTCATTGGCCACCTTTTGTTTTGTTTTGCTTTTTTTTTTTTTTTTTTTTTTTGAGACTGGGTTTCTCTGTATAGCTTTGGAGCCTGTCCTGAAACTCGCTCTGTAGACCAGGCTGGCCTAACTCAGACTCACAGAGATCTGCCTGCCTCTGCCTCCCAAGTGCTGGAGTTAAAGGCATGAACCACAACGCCCAGCTTTCACCTTAATTTTTGAAGCAAGGTCTCTCCCTGAACCTGGAGCTCATAGATTGGGCAGAGTGTTTAACCTCAGGGCAGTGAGCTCCTGGGTTCTGGAGATCTGAACTTATAGTCTCATTCTTGTGGCAGGTACTTCACACACTGAGCCATTTTCCCAGCCCCCACTAGCAAAGTTCTGGAAACTAGCTGTTTCAGTGTCTTCCCACAGTCTTCCTCCTTCCTGACTTCCAGCCCCTCTGGGCAAGTTAGTGGATCCTAGTCACACGTGGGTTCAGCAAGTTAAAGGATCCTAGTCACACGTGGGTAATTCTCTGTCTTTTATGTATAGTTCTGATCTTGTTCTTGAGACTGGCACACACTGCTACTGGCCTGCTGAACTTCTTCCTAGGCATTCCATAGGCATTTCATGTATAAAATTACTCACTGTTGTTGATAAAATTCAATCATACCTCAAATTGTAAAATAATAACAATCAGATTATTTTATCATTTATTATTAATAAATATTATTAACAAATATCATTATTTGTTATTAAAATATAATTGAAAATATAATATATAATATTTCTCTCTCTCTCACATACACACACACACACACACACACACACACACACAGAGGCTGTGGCCAGCGCTGCTCACCCGTCCTGGATCAGGTAGTACTTGAGTATCTCGTCCATTTTGGCAGTGGGCGTGGCAAAGCAGCTCTCCACCAGGCTCTCCAGGCCGCTCACGTGCACGAGGGGCTCAATGCCAAAGTATAGCGAGTCGCGAAGCTTGAGCGTGGGCAGAGTCTCCCGGTAAGGCTCCTCGAACTCGTGGTCCTTGAAGATCTCCAGCGTGAAGGGGAAGATGCCGTGGTTTCGACTCCTGATTTCCAGAGGGGCATTGCGCAGGTTGGGCACGTACCCTTCCGAGATGGTGTACAGTCGTGGGAACTCGCAGATCACAGGGATCAGCAGTTCGCTGGTCCGAATGATGATGTCCCCGCTGCTCCCAGGGGTCTGCTTGGGCAGACCCGTCACGAGGTTGCTGGCCACGATTTTGTCATTCACCACCTGTGCCAGTCCGGGGTGAAGTGAGAATGTGAGATTTATTTCTAGTTATCTCTCTTCTTACCTTAACAGCCTCCAAACACCTGGTATGTCAAACATCAGGGATTTCATTTTCTACGCCAGAGGGACTTTGGGTTTGAGTGCGGGTGTTTTGAAATGGGGGATGTTTATCTTGCCCAGGTTGACCTGAATGGGTCTCAAGTGGATCTGCCTAAGCCGGTTCTCTCTTTGTTGGTTAGTAAGACAGGCAGAGTAAGCAAGCATGCTGGCTCCTTCTTGGCTGGCCCAGGCATCTCTCCGGTGCATTAGGCATGAAACCTGATCTAGGGAGAGAACCAGCAAATTCCAAGCTCTGGCATCCAGAAGAGGATAGCACAGCACGCTCTAGGCAGGAATACCCGATTTGGGATGCCGCTGCTTCTAAGAAATCCTGGATTCATGCCAAATCGGCACCTGCATAGGCTTCAGCTGTTTACCGCGCCCCCCTCCCTAATTCTACTCTACCACCAGGGAGTGGTACCAGCCAGTTACAGGGCTATTACATCAGGCTCTCCATAGAAACAACCCATACCACTTGCCTAAATGGGGAAACCCTGCTCCTCTGTAGCTACCTCGAATATCACCCACAGTGATTCACCCTCTGACTCACTTCTCAGGACTCATAAACAAATGATCACTAAGGCTTCTGCATGGAGCTGTATCCAGTCCTCTGCACAGCATCCATCTTGCACACTGTGGGGCCACAGTGACCAGCTCAGTCCCGTCTTTGTGGACTCAAACCTGCTGTCTCCCCAGCCCTCCCTAGCATACACACGGGACCTTTGGAAGCAATCTCTATCCCGTGTCCTTTCCAGTCTTTTTCTGGTGAGGATTCCTTGCAGGGCAGCCTGCGAGGAATTTACCTTAGCACGGACCTGGAGATCCCTTAAGATTCTGCTCCTGAACCTCATCAAAAAGGTTCCTTGTTTCTTTGCTTGTGTGAGCCACACACACTTCTACCCACATCCAAGCCAGGCGTCCTTTTCGTGGATTTCTAGAGGACAGCCCAGACCTCATTTACATTTTATGTATTGTTATCTCAGTACTGCTGTGTGCTTGCTAACAGTACTGCTGTGTGCTTGCTGACAGGCAGGGATCTTATTCCAGGTCCCTGTCTGAGTTTCCAGCATAGGGGTGTGAGCATGTTTCAGGAAAAACAAAAACAAAGAAACAGAAACAACCTTTTAGCCTCAGCCTGGATCAATGCCTGAACTCACTCACTTGTCACAAATGAACTACCAGCCCCTTGGTCCCTATCATCCTCAGTCTCCAAATAACTAACTACAGAGGGTGCATTCCGCCTCTTGGTACCGATGGCGATGATGTAGGAAAACACCTTGTATACAGATTGCTCAGGGCTGCGTGAAAACAGGAACGGCTGAATTCTTCATTCCATTCCCTGCAGTCCAGGACCCTGGTGCGGGGCGGAGGATGTTCTGAGCTCAGTTCTTTTGTGTGAACCTATCCCATCAACCCAAGCCCCACCTTCCTTCTACCCTCTGTGAACCACCTTCCCAAGTGGGGAACTTCGGCCATTCCCTACATATCTGCCAGGGGACCTACATCAACCACCGTGCCGCAGGTCTTGAGGGAGAAGACAATGTTGACGTGGGTGCCATTGGACACTCCTCGGCAGGAGTTGTTGGTCAGGAAGAGCTCCAGGCCGCCAACCAGCTCCCTAGGGACACTCACTTCGATGGCGCTGGACTTGCACAACACGGGGACTGTGAGAAAGGGGACTCCGTTAGAACCTGAAACCCGGCTTGGGGAAAAAGGCTACCAAAGTCCCAGGGGAACGCTTTCTGCCCCACACAGCCTGCACTTTTGTTCTTTCCTCCAGGAAAGGGCTTGAAGCAAGGTGACGAATACAACCAGGATCCCTAGCTCCCAAGATTATAGCCAATGATGCTCCTCAGATCACATAATGCTTTGAACAGGAAACAGTGTGGTCAAGCTTCAGCCAGACAAACGCCAGCCCGAGGTGTGGCTGGCGTGATTCCATGGAGTGAGACACCCCGAGGATGAACTTGGGCGCCAGCACGGTTGACTGGCAACACAGGGAAGACAGTGCTGACCTGGGTTTAAATGGCAGGACAGCACGGCTGTGTTTTGATCATTAGTTACTGCCCCATTAACCAGGTAATAAACAGTGTTCCCGCATTCTGGAAGCCTTCCAAATTGTCCTTGAGCACCCCAGCAAATAAAATTCCACTTGAACGCGGTCCCGCGTTCATTTCCTCTGACCCTGCAAACACCCAAAAGGATGCTAGACACTTCCAGAGTCCCGCCTGTGAGCATACATCTCAGCAGTGAGATGCACGAAGAAATCAGAAACGGGCACCTGGTCGGTGTTTGCTGGTGATGGAATTATTATCCCAGACACCAAGAACTAGAAAACAGTTCTCCAGACACTGTTGATGGGGGACGATCCACCATTCCTCCTCATTCTAGCTAGTTTGGGCCCATGAAACTGTGGAATAAGGACAGTGTTGATACTTCCAAGTTGAGCAGTAGCTGTCCTGTTGGTTATAGAAGTCAGAGAACAACTCAGAGGCAACCAGCAAGGGAAAGGTAGCTTTTCTTGGCTTTAAAAACCTTTTCCACTCCTGTCTGTTTTTGAGACAAGGTCTCACTGTGTGGCTCAGGTTGGCTTGCTCTCAGGCAGGGCTCCCCTGGCCTCAACCTCCCAAGTGCTGAGATTACAGACATGAGCCATCACCACCAGCCAGGGTGTTCTCTGTTGCACTGTTCCCGAATGGTGACTCACGGAACTCCTGGCACTCAGAGAGTCGGTGTTCCGAAAGATAAGACTCTGACAGTCTTGGAGGAGGGAGGGCAAAGGTAAGAGGAGAAGGGTGTGTAAACCCGAAGGGAGTCAAACCTCGCCCTACCTTGGCAAGTGTGGTTATCTTCAGACAGCACCAAGCCCCTGGGACATGCGCACTGATAGCCCTTCCCGGAGCCCAGGCAAGAATGACTGCAGCCGCCATTATTATTGTGGCATCCTTCGATGTCTGCAGAGGGAACCGACAAAAATGAGTCCCCATGTGACCCTCTTCTGCAGGAATCCTAGCATCAACCGCCGGAGATTATTCTTGATTCGTGGCGGAACCCCTGAGGTCTAATGCAGTCAGCGAAACATGAGGCTACCTGCAAAACTTTCATTTAAGGCCGTGACTGCCCAGAGTTCGTCCACAGCGACGCTTACCGAGGCGCTCCGGGCATTTCAGCGTGTCTTTCTAAGTTTTCCATGCCTTTCTGTTGTTTCTCGCATGCCTACAGTGAGGTCATGCATGAACATTTATGGCTAAGACCCAACAACCATTTCTTAACTGTTGTAACATTTAATCTATTTATAAAAGTTATAATTTGATAGGCTTATTGGTGGATAAAAAGAGACTGAGTAACAGTTCATCCGGACCAGCTGGGTGGGTCAGAGTTGTGGCAGACTGATTGGATCGCTGGCCCCTCTCCTAGATTCCCTAGGAATAAGAGCCCTCTCTGGATATGAAAGGTCTTGGGTAGACTTGGGGCTGGAGACATAGCTCAGTCATAGGGTGTGGAAGGTTCCAGCTTCCACCCCAGTCCTAGCATGTCAATGACAATAATCTTCATCGTCACGACTTTTATGTGAACTGAACATTATCTTTCAGGTTGAGGGCTGTCAAATTCTAACCTGCTGTACAGTGTTATAAATAAAGGTTTATTAGCACACATAGGCATGACTATATGTTAACTATTGTGTATGGCTGGACTTTTTTGTTTGTTTGTTTGTTTGCTTGCTTGCTTGCTTGCTTGTTTTAAACTACAAGGGTAGAACTGGGCAGTTTTGATTGATTCCAGATGGTCCGCGAAACATAAAATATTTACCATCAGGACATTATGGAAAAGTTTTGCTGAGCCCTGTTCTAAGTTAAGATGATGGAAGGAGATGTTTTAGATCACCTAAACTGCTCAGGGAGAGATGGAAGCTGATTCTGAAGGATGATAGTAAAAGCAGGTTAGTGAAGAAAAAGTTTAAAAAAGGCCAGGCGGTGGTGGCACACGCCTTTAATGCCAGCACTCGGGAGGCAGAGGCAGGTGGATCTCTGTGACTTTGAGGCTAGTCTGGTTTACAGAGTGAGTTCCAGGACAGCCAGGGCTACACTGAGAAATCTCATCTCAAAAAAAAAAAAGTTACTGGAGCCACCAGTAAGTTAACTTGATACACACAAATCAGTTTTCAGGAAGTGTAAGAGACTAAAGTCACAACAAATGAATCTTTGTTAACTGTTTAAAAACCCAGCTGTAATACTTAAAATATTTATGCAGTGTGTGCGCATGTATATGTGTGTGTCTAGCAAAGCCACCGAGTGTGAGGTCAGGGGAAACTTGTGGGAGTTGGTTCCCTTCCGCCACCATGTGGGTTCTAGAGATAAAACTCAGGCCATCAGGTCTGGTGTCAATCGGCCTTACCTGCTGAGATATCTCACAAGCACTAGAAAATCCATATCTTTTTAGAGGATATAGACACTTTGTAGATTTGTAGGCTAGTTGAGATTATGGATAACAAGTTGGGAGAAAATATAAACTACTATGCATAGTTTGAAATCAGTAGGAGTGGTGGTGGTGCACGCCTTTAATCTCAGCACTTTGGAGGCAGAGGCAGGTTGGTCTTGAGATCAAGCTCCAGGCCAGCGGAGGGTACCTATGAGAGCCTGTCTCAAACAAACAAGCAAGCAAACAAAAATCCCCAACACTGGTACGTGGTTTTTCTTTCTAAAAGAAGGCCTCTTTCCAGTCCTGGGGATAACCCAGGGGCTCACTATACTCACTATACTTAGCCAGCACCCTGGTACCCCCACCTGCAAAATGACCTTTCCAAAGTCATTTTTGTTATTCTTTTGGTTTGGTCTTTAAGGGCAAGCTACTCCCACTCCCAGCCACTTCTGACCCCCTCGTCGCCATTTTAACCCCTTCCTTCTGTTCCCTCTCTCAGCATGTGCACACGTGTTTTTCCCCTCTCTTTCTCTTTTTCTATTTCTGCCTTTCTTTCTCTCCCTCTTCTTTAAGTGATAAATATTTACCTTTATGTTTAGTCTTATGTCTATTTATCATGTCCTGTAAGCCATCTGCCATCTGGTCACCCGCCCGCCTGACTGTCCCGGCAGCATGGCTGGGTGCTCCCGCCAGCTCTGCCGCTCACCGTGGGGAACCTGCACCGCTCTGGCGGCAGCCTCTGCCTGGCTCGGGGAACATATCATTATTATATTTTTAAAGAACAAAAATTTTATTTCTCTGAGTTGTGATTTCAATATTTGTTAAGATAAAGGGGTAACCCTAAAATTATCACACTGGGAATTTTCAGTTGTAAAAATTCAAAAGGAAAAGCAGACCAAAGAATCCAAATTCCTTCAAAAGGTTTCAGCCTTGGAATGGTGGAACAAGATATTCAGAACGGAAATACCCTAGCAACAGAGATTGGAGATCATTTATAGACTCCCCTTTTACTCTTCTGTGTTTTCCTATTTATATCACCAACTATTAAAATTTACTTAAAAATTTAAAAGTACAATTAATTTTTAAGAAGCTATAATCATTTAATAGCTGCACTAAAGAAACAAATACATTCAGCCTTTCAATAAAAGCTAAATGTTATAAATAGAAACAGTATTCCTAGAGTATTACTCATGTAGACACATAAAAATTTTATCATTTGCTAAATATTTTTCAGTTATGGTTATTAGGTTTTAAGGTTATATGAGTATTAACCATGATAGTCTCAATAAAGTGCTCATGAATAATTACAAATGCTCTTTATGGACTATTTTATTACTATTCAAATATGCAAAAATGATTACACAAAATTATTAAGATTTAGGGAAGATTCCACACATTTTCCTTATTCAATAAAATTTATAATAATTTAGCCTTGTTACAAGAACAGCAATTTAATGCTTCAGTTAATGTGCTCTGTATTAATAATGCAAACTTTGCTGGACAGTACTCATAATTTTTCTCTTTGGGATGGTATTTTATTATTTTGAATGGGATGAGAATACAATGAATTTTAATATACAGATTACAGCTCTGTTAATACGCAAGCTCAATTCCCCTGAAGGACAAATCATATGTCCTCTGTAAATAATAACAACTATGTCAGTTACCCCTCCATGGTGCCCTCTGCAGAGAAGGTTAAGGGAACTCAGATTAGTGAAGGCAGATACCATGTCACTTCAGCTGTGACAAGCTCATGACCGGAGTCCCACAAAACAGTAGCAGATTACTGAATACCTGGTACCTCATAGCCATGTGGAAGGCTACATCAACTAAAAAGTAAGAGTAACAATTGACAATTTCATCGCTATTCCTTGAGATTCATTGTTAAGTTTCTGGTTACTAAGCCACGTACACACAACATGTCTGGTACTAAAAGTAGTCACCACGGGATTAGAGAGGTGGCTCAGTGGTTAAGGTCACTGGCTGCTTTCTAGAAGACCTGAGTTTGATTTCCAGCACCCACATAGAGGCTCACAACAATCTGTAACTCCAGTTCCAGGGAATCTGACATTCTTTTCTGCCCTAGATATGCACATGGGGCACAGACATTCATGCAGATAAAATACCTATACACATAAAAAGAAATAAATGTTTTTTTAAAGAGTAGATTATTTGGGGACAGAAGCGATGGATCAATGTTAAGTTAAGAGCACTTGTTTCCAGTTCCCAGCATCCACGTGATGACTCACAACTGCCAGTAACTCCAGTTTCAGGAGACCCAGCTCCCTCTTCTCACCCCTCTGGACACCAAGCATTTATGTATGCCACACATACACACATGCAGGCAAAATACTCAGATACCTAAAATAAAACAAACCTAAAATTTGTAAGTAGATAATTTTATCTCCAAAAATATACTGACTTCCCTCAATAAAAGGAGAAATGACTCAATGTAATGATAGTTTCTCAAATTTCTAAGACAATAAGATTAACTCAAAAAAAAATCAGTAATCTTCCTTTACACAGATGATAAATAGGCTGAGAAAGAAATCAGAGAAACATCACCCTTCACAATAGCTACAAATAGCATAAAATATCTTGGAGTAACACTAATCAAACAAGTGGAAGACTTGTATGACAAGAACTTTAAATCTTTGAAGAAAGAAATTGAAGAGGACACCAGAAAGTGGAAAGATCTCCCATGCTCTTGGGCAGGCAGAATTAACATAGTAAATAGTAAAAATGGCAATCTTACCAAAAGCAATCTACAGATTCAATGCAATGCCCAGCAAAATTCTTCACAGACCTCAAAAGAATGGTACTCAACTTCATATGGAAAAGCAAAAAACCCAGGATAGACAAAAAAAAAAAAAAAATCCTGTACAGTAAAGGAACTTTTGGAGGCACCACAATCCCTGACTTCAAACTCTTCAGACTAAAAACTCTGTTATTATTTACAGAGGACATATGATTTGTCCTTCAGGGGAATTGAGCTTGCATATTAACAGAGCTGTATCTGTATATTAAAATTCATTGTATTCTCATCCCATTCAAAATATATATTCAAAACTATAGAGCTACAGTATTGAAAACAGCCTGGTATTTGCATAAGAACAGACAGGAGGACCAATGAAACCAAATAGAAGACCCGGATATCAGTCCACACATCTTCCAACACCTGATTTTTGACAAAGAAGCAAAAAATATCAAATGGAAAAAAGAAAGCATATTCAATAAATGGTGCTGAAATAACTGGATATCAACATGTAGAAAATGAAAATAGACCCATATCTATCACCATGCTCAAAATTCAAGTCCAAATGGATCAAAGACCTCAACATAAACCCAGCCACACTGAACCTCATAGAAGAGAAAGTGGGAAGTACACTTGACACATTGGCACAGGAGACCACTTCCTAAATATAACCACAGTAGCACAGACACTGAGGAGAAGCAATTAATAAATGGGACCTCCTGAAACTGAAAAGCTTCTGTAAAGCAAAGGACATAGTCAACAAGATAAAACAGCAGCCTACAGAATGGGAAAAGATCTTCATCAACCCCACATCAGACAGAGGTCTGATCTCCAAAATATACAAAGAACTCAAGGAATTGGTCATCAAAAGAACAAATAATCCAGTAAAAAAAAAATGGGGTACAGACCTAAGCAGATACCTCTCTACAGAGGAATCTAAAAATGGCTGAAAGACGCTTAAAGAAATGTTCAACATCCTTAGCCATCAGAGAAATGCAAATCAAAACAACTCTGAGATTCCATCTTACACCTGTAAGAATGGCCAAAATAAAAAAAACACTGATAACAACTTATGCTGGAGAGGATGTGGGATAAAGAGAACACTCCTCCATTGCTGGTGGGAATGCAAGCTGGTACAACCCCATTGGCTGTCAGGGTGGCGAATTCTCAGAAAATTAGGAAACAACCTTCCTCAAGACCCATTAATACCACTTTTGGGTATATATCTAAAGAATGTTCAACTGTGCCACAAAGACATGTGCTCAACTATGTTCCTAGCAGCATTGTTTGTCATAGCCAGAACCTGGAAACAACCTAAATGCCCCTCGACCAAAGAATGGATAAAGAAAATGTCATACATTACTACACAGCAGAAAAAAAAATAATGACATCTTGAGATTTTCAGGCAAAAGGATGGATTTAGAAAACATATTGAATGAGGTAACACCAATATGAGGTTATGATATGATTACAGACCCAGAAATACAAATATCATATGTACTCATGCATAAGTGGTTTTTAGATATAAAGAAAAGAAAACCAGCCTACAATTCTCAATCCCACAGAACCTAAAGAACAATGAGGACCCTAAGAGAAAACATATATGGATCTAATCCATATGGGTAGTAGAAAAAGACATGATTTCCTGAGTAAATTGGGAGCATGGGGACCATGGGAGAGGGTAGAAGAGGAGGAGAGAGGAAGGGAGGGAAGCAGAGAAAAATGTATAGCTCAATAAAGTTGATAAAAAAAAACACCCATGGAATTTATTAAAATTCTCAGTTCTGAGGCCCCATCTCAACCTGTTGAAGCTGACTTCCCCACCCACAAGAGTCCTGGTGGGGGCTGGGGAGGCCAGTCTCAGGCCCAGGAAGGTTGAGAAAGGGGCTGTGGAGCATGCTCTGCTCCCCGCGCCTGTTGCCTGCTGCTCTGAGCTTCTTGCCAACAGCCTCAGGCACCTACTCATTATCTAGAAACATAGTCACCTCAGCTTGACCCCAGACCACTCAGTCCGAAACTGCACCTCAACTAGATCCTATGGGATTTGTGGGCACATTGAAGTTTGAGAAAATGGGTATTACTCCACCTTAGCTTCCCACAGCGTTCTACTTCTTGGAAACCCCTCCTCTTCAATCTTGAAGACAAAATCAATACCGAGTTCTGTCCACAGCTTAAGCGCCCTCAGTGCCCAGAACCTCGTTAGTCACCTCATGCTGACAAACTGTTATTTCCCTCTACCAGCACCTTCCCAAAGCCAAAGAGCAAGCCAGTGGCTCCCTTTGGACGCTCAGTTTGCCTCCCCACCTTATCCGGTCTTACCTTCACAAGTTTTCCCGTCGCTCCTCAGCACGCGGCCGACCCCGCACGCGCAGCGGTGTGAGTTTTTGAGGTTCACACAGATTTCACTGCAGCCCCCATTATTCTGCTCGCATTCGTTGTCATCTGTAGAAGGGAGACCACATCACTGCCACATCGCTGAGCGGCCTCACCCTGTCCCCAGCCTTTGAACTGAATCCCCACCCCTTCTCAGATGCTGCTGGAACCCCTGCTGTAGACCGGCACAGACACATGCACGGGCCTGGCCTCCCCAACCAAGCTGTTCATTCATCTGTCTTCTGCTCGTTTGTCCTTTGCCAAGCGGAAGGTATCCGAACACTTGTGAGTTCCTATCCTTCAGCGTAGAAACTGCGGGGCTGGCAAGACGGCTCAGCAGATACAAGCACTTTCTGCTAACCCCTCCAGCCTGAGTTTGATTGGGGCCCACATGGTGGAAGGTAAGAGAGGACATCTGGAAGTTGTCCTGTGACCTTCACAGGCACGGCATGGACGGGCATGCATGCACAATAAATACAGAAATGTAATAAGGTAAGACTATGGGGTGGGGGATGAGGTTCCTTTTGTGAACTGGGTATGCTCATTCGTTTTTATGGAAACCCTCTTTTTCCAATGAGTTCATGAAAAATTGTTAAATGCGAGATTATATATTGGGTTTTGTTTTAATGCATAGAAGGAGCTTACAGTGCAGAAAGAAATAGCTAGCAAAACACTGTGTGAGACAGTCTTCTGGTACTGCATCACTCTCAAAAATCAACTTTAAAAATTAAAACATTCTCAGCCGGGTTTGGTGGCGCATACCTTTAATCCCAGCACTTGGAAGGCAGAGGCAGGTGGATCTCCGTGAGTTGGCGGCCAGCCTGGTCTACAGAGTGAGTTCCAGGACAACCAGGGCTACATAGTAAAACCCTGTCTCAAAAATTTTTTTGAAATTCTCACATTATATTTAAGGATGGTTTTTAGTCTATAAAGCATCTGATGAGCTATGCATAGATTTTTGCTGAAAAAAAAAACCACATTAAAATGGACACTAAATGCCTGTCTCCTGCAGAGCAGAGGAAGCTGAGAATGAAGTGTGTCTCGGCTCCTAGGAAGGAACCTGGATTCGGAACGTGAGCCAAGGGCTGGAGCTAAAATGCTCACAGTGAATCAGAACATTGTTTTGGACCCAGGAAGGGAGATGAGATGGGTGGCGTTCCATTTATATCCAGAGCCCCAGAGTAGGTGCTTTCCTCTTAGGCTTTGGGCATGGTCTAAGCAAACCCGAAAGTTCACGTGTTGGAAGTTTGGCCCTCAGGGCGATGTTATGAAGTAGTGGCCATTGGAGGTGACTGATGTGGTTCATGTGGGCCCCTGTTCTTACCGCCTTCCTGTCTTTGCTTGCGCTCCTGGGATACCATCTCCCACCGGACCTTCCCCGGAGCTGAGCCAGTGCTGGCAATACACCCTTGAGCCTCCCTGAATTTTGAACCATGCTTCTTTTTCTTTATAACCTACTGAGTGTCAGCTATTACATTACAGTAACAAGAGGAACGAATACATATTTTAATAAAATCGAGGGCAAAACTCTGCCGCAGGTAGCAATTAGGAGGCTCCCTGTGAGGCCCAAAGAGGGAGAGATCCACCTGCAGTGAAACCCCTGGGCCAGGGTGCTGCCATGGTTCCAGCATGGATTGACACTTCCCACTCACTGGGGATGTAGATCTTGATCTCAGAAACTGATGTGCCCTTGGGCCTGGAAAGCTGCTCTGGAGTAGAGCATCCTCGGAGCCGGTGGGAGGGGCAGAGAGTCACAGAAATCCCCCAATGCTAGATGAGGGTCTAGCATAAAACACCACAGACAACTCACAGTGAAAGTGGTCAGGCAAGATAACTGGAGGCTTTGAACTGGTAATAAAAGAACAACCCAGAAGTCTGTGCAAGCATCTTTTGAAACTAGAAAAAAAAAATGAAAGAAAGAAAGAAAGGGACTATGGGCCGGAGAGATGACTCGGAGGTCGAGAGCACCGGCTGCTCTTCCAGAGGACCAGGTTCAATTCCCAGCACCCACATGGCAGCTCACCACTGTCTGTAAATCCAGTCCCATGGGGATCTGACACCTTCACACCAATGCACATAAAATGAAGTTAAATAAATTATAAAAAGAAAGAAAGGAAGAAAAGGAACTAAATAAATCACAACTAAAAAGAAGCCAACATTTAGAGCCTGCAGAACTAGAAGCTACAGTCGGTAAGATGAGAGTCTCATGTAGCCCAGGATGGCCTAGAAGGCACAATGCAGAAGAGGCTGGCCTTGAACTCCTGATCTTCCACTTCCACGCTCCAAATGCTGGGATTCCAGCTGTGTGCCACCATGCCTGCCTAAATCCTAACTGAATCCTGATTTCTCCACAGGTGCAGGGCACCAGGGAGGGCAGGAGGCCAGCAGGTTCCTGACAGTTGGTATGACCCCACCGATGCCAGGACTTCCTTCAGGCCTCCAAGGCAAGCCTGGGCTGTTACCCTTGGGACTGCTTCTTCTTTTTATTTTTTAATATGAGGAAGAAATTAACTTCTACTTATGTAGGCTACTGCTACACGGGGCTGGTATTTCTAGCGAGTGTAGGAATCGTGCCCGCTAGCACCTCCACATGCATGTTTACACACTAGAGAAAGTATCACGTGTGGAGTGAGGTGTCATTTGTATGTTAACTTTACAGATAGAATAATTCTGTATGGTGCCGTGCGGTCCATCCACACAGCAATACTAAAACACAGAGACGGAGTGGGAAGGGAGCAGGCTGAGGTCCGAGCAGCAGCCAACCCCAGAGGGTGGTGGATTCCAGAAAGATGCCTCGGTTGGAACATCAAGACTCTATTTTCGCTTAAAAAAGAAAAGGAAGCAAACTTTAACTATAGTTACGTCTGGGTACATGTGCATCTGCCTTGTTATCTTCTTACTCCCTCCCTTTGCCTGAAAAAGCTAATTAAAGAAATAATTAAAATTGTTGGGTTGGCTCGGTGGGTAAAAGCGCTCGCTGCCCAGCCTGACCACCTAAGTTTGATCCTGGGACCAGCTTGGTGGAAAGAGAGAACCATCTCTGGCAAGTTATCCTTGACCTAGCACATATACAATAAATAAGTGTAACAACAAGTTTAAAATTGTTTCATTTACATGAAAACTAAATAGAAGCTAAAGCTGACCTGCGCACATAGCACAGAAGCCTGCGTCATCTTCTGGAGCCCACAGCCCTTGCGTCGGGCTTTCACTAGGCAAAGATGTCTAAGCAATCATAGTGTCAAGAAGAGATAAGTGTGGCGAGATGCCACCTTGGAGGCAAAAAGAAAAAGTCAGTAAGTAAAAATAAATTTGCATTGACGGGCAGTGGTGACGAATGCCTTTAAGCCCAACACTTGGGAGGCAGAGGCAGGTGAATCTCTGAGTTCAAGGCCAGCCTGGTCTACAGAGTGAGTTCTAGGACAGCCAAAGTCCACACAAAGAAATATTTGCATTTTTATATCTACCCAAAGGAAATATGAATAAGAAAATAACACGTTTTTGGAACCTACTTTGAAATGACTTTATAACACATCTCAATTTGAATGTCCAATTTTTTGGGGTTTTTTTGTTTTTTTTTTTTTTTTTGAGGCAGAGGTTTGTCTATGTAGCTCAGGATGGTCTTGAACTCACCATTTTCCTGCCTCAGTCTCCTCAGCACTAGGGTTACAGGAATGCACCACACCTTAATGGATGCCAATTTTCAGCAGAAATACTTAGTCTGTATTTACAGTTAGTAAAAACAGACACGATTTAGTCATTTGAGTTATCCCAGACATTTTTCGTTTGCCAATGACCGAATCAAAAATCAGTTTTTATATTAAAATTTAGTAAAATTAAGATCCAAATCCTCAGGCACGCTGGTCACTTTTCAATGGCCCATAATCACAAGGGACCAGCGGCCGCCAGAGACAACAGTGCGTTTCCGACCTCCCTCACCACACCATGCGCTTGGCGCTTTAGGTGTGACCGGCAATGACAAGCTCAGTTGCAAATGCTCCAAGACTAAGTGGGATGGCCGCAAGGCCCTGATTTGTCCCTCTACTCCTGAGTAGTTCTTACCTAGGCATGTCTGTCCATCTGGGCCCAGCGAGGTTCCTGGGGAGCATGCACACTCGGTGGCGTCCTCGCAGCTGCCATGGCAGACCTCATCACAGATGTCATAGAAATCTACGGAAGGACAACAATTATCTGCTGTGAGTGGCGAGGCTCAGGGGACTCTCTCTTTGGAGTAGTCTCACGAATGCAGCCACGGGCTCCAATTCCCAGAACACCATCTGGACGTTCTTCATGGTTCAGGGCTGCATTGCCCACTGGAGAGAAATCAGCTGTTTGGGAGCAGCTTTGGTCTGTTCAGATAACTGACCCCCAGCTAGAGTGGGAGTAACCCACTGGTGGCCAGAGGACTTCGGCAAATTAAAATCATCAGCGCGGAAGAGCTAGGGTCTGCGGGTGAGGTCATGCTCCACTGTGGACTCTCCAAAATGTACACAGGAACTGGGGACACCAATTTCTGTGAGGCCCTTGGTTTGAGCTCTGCCATCAAGGATGTTTACAGAGTCTCCAGCTTTGGGGGAATGGAGAGATGGATCAGGGTTAAGAGCACTGGCTTCTCTTCCAGTGGTCCTGAGTTCAATTCCCAGCCACCACATGGTGGCTCACAGCCATCTGTAATGAGATCTGGCGCCCTCTTCTGGTCTGAAGGCAGACATACAGGCAGCACACTATAAATAATAAATAAATCTTTATTTACAAAAAGAAAAAAATCTCTAGATTCTGATGCATTAGTGATACAGAAATTCACTTAACAGTATTATTGATGCCACACCGCCCCTTCTCATTGTCTATCACTTCCGAGAAGCAATGACAGTGAGCACCATGCAGGTGTCTGGGCATTTATCTGTCCACCTATTGATCACGCATCAACAGGTATCTCCAGAGGGCTCTTCTGTACTCAGAAGGTTGAAAATCCATCACTTCTGATTCTATAATGTTTGAACAAACAGACTGAAAATAAACCTGGGTCCCAATAACTAGGATTCATATGGTGCTTTTCTCTTTAACGCCATCGGTGGCCTTGCTGGGGAAGGAAGAGGGCGAGGAAGGTACTTACGGCCACAGTAGACGTGGAAGCAGACGGTGGGCTTGGCCAGCCGATAAACATAGTAGCCTCCGGGGCAGGCCTTGACCTCCACCGTGGTGTTCCAAAGGCAGCAGTTCCCTTTGAAGCTGGCACAGGCCTGGCGTTGCACGATGCCGTCACTTTCTAGGGGGTGACTGCCATTGAGCCAGACGGGTGCATGGGTCCCACAGTGGTTTTCTGGTATGCAGAAGGTGGGCATGGCATCTCCTGCCATACCGGTGAAGCGATACCATTCCCCATCCATATGGTTGTCACAGAGAGGCTGGCTTTGAGACTCGTCGAACTGGTGGTCGGTGTTCCTCCAGGGCTCGTTCAGGCTGATGTAAGCCGAACAAGGATCTAGGGCTGGGAAGAAAAGGGGACTCAGAGATACCTGGTGGCATTTCAGCTCACAGTGCCAACAGCTACATCCACCTCAGTCTTTTTCAAACAAAAAGTGTGTGTGTGTGTGTGTGTGTGTGTGTGTATGTGTGTGTGTGTGTGTATAGCCAGATGTCAATCTCAGGCATCCTTCCTTAGGAGCCATTTACTTTGTTTTCTTTAGATGGGTCTCTCTCTGGCCTGGTGCTCATTGGTTAGGCCAGATTGTCTGGCTAGCGAGCCCCAAGAATCCTCCTGTCTCCACCTCCTTAGTGCTGGGATTAAAAGTCTATGCCACGCCTGGTAGTGTTACAGCTGGGCTTGGTGTGTATGAGGGCCAGCATCCCCACTAGCACCAGAATGGATAAACAAATGAATGAGAAAATAAATCAATATACCAAGAGAATCCTGTATAAGAGGAGTTACGTATTTTGATTCAAAGATAAGGACAGATGTTTATGGAAAAGTATATTTCAATCCAGCTATCCAGTTACGCGAGAGACTGTGTTATGATGCAGTTAGCACCCATTTGGAGAAATTAGGAAGAAAAGAAAGGAGGAAAGCCTTAAATTACTTTTGCCAAAATGACAGTCAGAATCTTGCGTCAGTGTGAAGTTTGACAGAATAAGGAGCACGGAAAGCTCATTCCACGGGAAGGGGAAAGGTCCGAGGCACACAGCCCAGAGCTCTGAAATACACAGCAACCTGGCAGGTGGACGGGGAAATAACTTGACAGTCTGGGGAAAGAAGTGATTAGGACATTGAACTTTCTGGAAATGACATTTGCAGAGTTGTCGGTGGCACAAGCAACCCTTTCTTCAAGTTCTGTGGCTCCTCCCAAAGTCTTTAAAATGCCCTTAAGCTGTCCCGGCTTAGCGCTAGCTGGCAATTCAGTGTTCCCTGAAGCGGAAGATATGTCCTCAAATTCCTTCACCTCTCCAACGGAAAAATTTCCTCCTCTGCCCCGCCGGCTGTGGCGCTTTGGCCAAGCGAGACTTCCAGCATAATTCCACAGGTGATTATAAGCTCCTAGGGACATTCCACTCCTTCCCTGGCTCAAATTTTACAAGAAATGGTGAGTCGCTCAACCTCTAATGGCATTGACAACAACTCCCATAATGACTCTTCCATGATTTCTAAAGTTTTCCTTAAAGTTAAATGCCGTTTCTTCAACTGTTGCAAAGCCCGTGCCTTCCCGTCGCGGAGGAACGACAGCACGGAGCAGAGAAACGGCCCTGGCGCATGCTGTGCAACCCCACAGGGAATGTCACACAGACAGTCACTACATATTTTCTAACACCAAATGCTTCCACGCTCTTTTAAAACATTCATTCTGTGTCAAATCCCGTTTCCAGTCTCAATGTGGAGTCAGGAGCGTGGTGTTACACAAATTGATCCTAATTAGCTCATACCATCCTTAACACCAGGGCGTGAAAGAGAATAGCCCTATGTGTTTCTCTCAAAAACCTGCTCCCTTCTAGAAGGCTCAGTGTCTCAGGACACTCAGGAGCATCTTGGCTCCTGTACAAGGACCAACCACAGGGTGTGAGCAGACATATCTGTATCCCCATCTTGTCATTCCGGAGACTAGCATACCTGCGAGCCTCCCTTCACTACCCAGATCATAGTCTTTGCGGCCCCTGTATCTTTGCTGCATCTGGAAACTCCCACCCCTTGTCTCTTCCTTCCTACTTCCTCGCCTTTCTGTGTTCCAGTCAGTGAACCGGTTGGCATATTATTAACTGAAGCCTATAGTTGCTCACAGGGTCTTAGGTTTGATCTACATCGTCGCCTGTCCCAGGGTCCCCATCCAGAACACTGCATTACAGGTAGCTTCCATCTCTCCTCAGTGCTTAAACTTATTTTTAATGTATATACTCAAAGGTGCCAGAGCTTGGCCCAAGTTACTGCAGAGAAGCAGATCTATTCCAGTCACATACCAAGCAGAAGTGCCCAGAAGGATCCTCGTTGGCCAGTTTTCTGCCAAGCCTGAGAGGAACAGCTTAAGAGTTGTTTGGCCTGTGCAAAAAGCCACTCATATTTTTAAAGGCCAAACGTAACAAACGTTTTATCCAGATCTGTGCCCTTTACAGGGACAGAACGTTCACTCCCTTTTATTCATTAAGGGAAAGGCCCTACCCTCATCACTAAAAGAAAAGAATCATTTCCACTCTTCAAGTGGGAACTCTAGAGTGAAGAGATTAGAATTCCTTTCCACACACGCTCCAAGAACGATTTAGCTGTAGGAAGGTTGAGTGACAACAGAGATCCATGGAGCTCTGGACGCTCAGGCGGGAGAATAAAGGAGCAAGGAGCAAAAATTCTCCAGGCATAGATCCTTGTAGGCCAAGTGACTTTTTTACACAAGTGTGGGGGTCACTATTTAAGGCCCCATTATATAGTCCTAACATTTGGTATACAACAGCAAACAACAATCAACAACAAGTGCATTGACACAGGACTCACCTCTGGGCCACCCTGGGGTCACGGTGCTGAAGAGGCAGGTGAGCAGCAGGAACAGGGGCATCTTTTCTGATCCAGTCGCCAGGAACAGAGTAGAAATCCCCTTAACACTATTTTTCCTTTGTTCTTTCTTCAAGTACTTAGGGGAAAATTCCCTCTGGACTCTTAGGGAGAGACTCTGTATCAGCGCTGACTGGGACCTCACGGGGCAGCACAGGAGCCGACCGCTCTGGCCTTGGCCCCAGATAGAGGCCTGCTTTCCACTGTCAACAGTGCTGTTGTCCTGATAGATGTCTTCAGAGGCGGGAAAAACCCCACCTCAGCACCCCTCATCCTTCTATTGTTTCTTGTTTTTGTTTTTTTTTTCTCTGAAGAATTCCCTATCTTATCCAGAAGGGAACTCTTACTGAGCGACATCCCCTCATGTCAAAATCTTGTTTGGTGACTTCTAGGAACTGGCTTCCTGAGGCTGCAGCCACGGCATTGTTCAGGCTCCCTCAGTGGGAACGGGATAAGCCACTTAGTACTGAGGACATGTCTCGATCTGACGGTCCAGGGGCTGACAGGAGCACACACGAGGTCGTGAGGGGCCTGAGAGGAGCTGGTATTCTCTCGAAGAATCTCCTAGGTTTGTCTTATTCTGGTCTCCAGTCTTGAGGTCTCCTAAGTAGAGACCTTCACGCGGGCATTGTCAACCCAGCGGTCAAGCCTGGTGTCTTTATGATGCATTTCTTCCCCACGTAGCAGAGGTGTTAGGGATTATTGATTTCACCAATCCTCACACTAAAATAGGGGCAGGGACTTAAAATTAAGAGCAACCATTAAATTAACAAAATCCTGGAAAGTTCAAAATTGCCAAGAGTTTTTCTTTTCTTCTGCCTTCCAAGTGCTGGGATTAAAGGCATGCACCACCACCACCCGGCTGGAGTTGTACTTTTGACCAAAGAGGGAACCTCTGAGGACTCTCACATGCCATGCCACCAGGCCTGGTTGCAGTAGCAACTGTAGGTGTGAGGGTTTGAAGGTTCATGGTATTTTAGGCTGTGGACACCGAGAAACAGCAATTCCAATAAAAGACAATGCGGAGGGGAAGATCGGAGGGGTAGGTCAGAAATCACCAGAGAGCCCTCATCCAAGTGACAGATGGAGGCAGATTCAAACATTGGGCTGACCTCAGGGAGTCCTGCTGAGGAGAGGGAGGAGAGATTGTAGGAGCCAGGGGGTCAGAGATATCACAGAAAAACCCACAGAAAAGGTTAGCCAGGCTCATGGGAACTCATAGAGTCTGAACCAACAGCCAGGGAGCCTGCGTGGGACTGACCTAGGCCCTCTGTATCCATCTGATAGTTGTGTAACTTGGTCTATTTGTGGGACTCCTGGCAATGGGAGCAGGGCTGTCCCTGGTGCTTTGGCTGCTCTTGGTTAACCTATTCCTCATGCTGGTTGCCTTGCCGAGCCTGAATACAGGGAAAGATGCTTAGTCTTGTGGCAGCTTGATATGCTGTAACTTCCTGATGCCCAGGAGAGGCCTGTCCCTTTCTGAATGAATATAGAGGAGGAGTGGATTGGGGAGGGGCAGAGGGGTGGAGGGAGGAGAGAGTAGAAGAGGAGGGAAGGAGAGGTTTTGGTTGGGATGTAAAATAAATACCTTCTTCTTCTTCTTCTTCTTCTTCTTCTTCTTCTTCTTCTTCTTCTTCTTCTTCTTCTTCTTCTTCTTCTTCTCCTCCTCCTCCTCTTCCTCCTCCTCCTCCTCCTCCTCCTCCCCCCTCTTCCTCTTCCTCCTCCTCCTTCTTCTCTATTTTAAACAGATCTGAGATAGACATATTTTCTTTCCCAATTCAACTTCTAAAGCCCCAAAGCCAGCAGCTTTCAGTTAACTTTACTTTCCTCAAATGATTGTGGCTTCTGTCTTCTAAGGGCACATTTCAGGATTAGTGTTTACTAAGGGCCAGGGCAATGCTAATTACTAGACTATGATCGTACACACGTGGTCCCCGCAGGAGTTGCAGGTAAACAAGGGGTTATGTGGATCTCAGCGGCAGTTGGTTACTCTCTCACTGAGGGCTCAGGCAGTTGACCACTAGCTTCCTAAGCCCTGGTTTGACGGCGGTGATGGAAGGCCATGGGACTCTCAGTGCAGGGCAATGCTTTTAACAGAAAAAAACAAGCCTCACTGTTTCCTGTCCCCGAGAAGCCATCTGAGTGCTTCATGTGTGTTTTGAAAAAACAAAGGACGTGTGTGTGAGATAAACCCAAGTTTGTTGCCAGGATTGATTGCTGGAGTCAAGGACTTTCACCAGATAGCTCTTTGGTTCTATAAACAAGAATCCCCGGGAGGGCAGGATTCTCTCACTCACACACATTGTGGATTGGGAAAGAAATTCATTTCACTGTTTTTTATCGTCCTTTTTTTAAAAAAAAAATTTAATTTACATTCTGACTGCAGCCACCTCTCTCTCCTCCCCTTATGTCTCTTTTTTCTCTTTTAGTTGACCTGCCCTAAAAATGATTAAAATTTTCAAATACACACAAAAGTCAGAGGAAAACTGCTGAACATCCAGCGGCAAAGCTAACATTTTATCAGTTTTATTTTGTTCATATTCCACTATGCACTCCTAAGATGTAGTCTTCCTTATTTATGTAGTCATGAGGTAGGAGTGGCTACAGCTATGAAAAGCAGTAATAATTCTTTCATAGCTGATGTCCTGTCCATGTTTAACTTCCCCAGTAGCTTCAAATGTTCATTTTTACTGCCAGTTTGGGTCAATATGAGTTTTACCATATACTGCATTGTGCTTTGTCCCTTAAATTTCGCATCATCCTTTCTTCATCCTCTGTACTATTTACTGACCATCAGATTATAGAATGTTCCATATTCCAGATTTCATTGATTGCTTCATTATTGTCTCTTAGCCTCCCCTGTCCACAGTTAATGTTATTAAGATTTAAACCCCCAAATACCTTGGTGACATGGGAGGAACTTAGCACCCCTCAGCCAAGGGGAAGGTAAACCAGTTTGCTGTTCTGAGACACAGAACATGGAGTCAGCTTTCAACATATTAATGGTACCTGAGATGGGGCAATGAGTGAGATGGCCCAAGGGAAGAGTGTCCCAGGCTGGAGCGTGGTGGGAAGTTAACAGGAAATAAGTGCTTGTAGGAAGTGGACTCGGCAAGGAAGATCAAGGAATTGGGGACGAGAGGAGGGAGATCCAAGAGCTGAGTTACAGTGGCTGAGATGGTTGAAGGAGATGGCCCTGTTTAGCATGCGCCACACTTACAAAGTGTGTGCAAATGATGGGTAAACGGGAATTTATAAAGCCGGTAACTTTACATTTGGTAATGATCCCAAGGAAATCACACAAAAGGTGCTCTGTGGAAGACACGGTGTGTGACTTGTTTGGGAGAAGAGAGAAGAGCCGTGGTACTGAAGAAAATCAGTGGCATTTATATCATTCCCCTGTAAAGGTCAGGGGACACTGAGGAAAGGGGGGCGGGAGGCATGTAAGAGCTGGAGGACTGGGCGCGGGGCTTCAAAATGCCATCTAGACTTGACACGACAGTTCCAACCATGAACTGACCATCATGGTTACCTGAACTCACCTGCACAAGACTGGCCCTGTTAACACTGTCCCAGGTCGGGGAGAGGCTCATGAGGCACCATCCCTTGCACTGAACTATTGGCTATTGATAGATTCTGGGAAAAGGGCACTCACTGTCTTTAGTAGCATGCACACTGCTGAGCCCACCGGGGTCTGATGGGTGGCTCCGTGGTCACACAGATGGCCCCCGTTAAACTACTCGGTGGGTCCCAAAATAAAACGTACAGGCATGAACTAAGAAAGAGTTGCAACTGGGAGCCAGGAGAGAGTTGGGGGTATAGTTCGTAGACACTGTGTGCATGTGTGAAATTGTCAGTCAACACATTTGATTTAAAAAAAAAATGGAAAGAGTTGGGGTGAAAGTGAGTCCCAAAACCTAAACAGTTTCCCTTTTCTGTGAATCCTTCTAGATGAAATTTAAAAGGCCAGGTGGTGGTGGCACCCGCCTTTAATCAATGAAATTTAAATTCCAGCCTCTTTATACTTGTATTTGAAGGCATCCATCCACATGCTGGACACAGGATTTCTCTCTTACTGGCCCCAGGCTGCTGCTCGCCCATTACATACTCACCAGCCCTTCAGCTGATCTAGTGCTGGACTCTGGGACTCCCGGAGTCATGGATAGAGCTCCCTTCTCTTCATGTTCTTTCTCCAGAGCTATGGTTCATCTGGTCGACAGTCTCAACAGAATCAGCAGTGGTCCTTGTTGGACACCGACTGCCGACTGCAGAGAGGTCTGAGACCTTGCATCTCTAGTAGCTTCTGGGAGGTGAAGATCATCTCTGAGGCCCCTCTGCTAGTCTAGCTAGAAGTTCCCTCAGCCAACTGCACTGCCCCACTCAGTGATAGATCAATGCCAGCCAGCCTGGCTCTAGCGGGAATTCACAGCTTCACAACATAACAAAGTCTTCCCAACACAGTTCCCAAGAACAGTTTAAGTGTTTAGTTTGGTGGCTTTAAGCTTATCCCTTTGTGCAGCCACCACTACCACCTATCTCTAGAACACCATCTTCTCAGATGAAAACTCCTTAAGGCCTCTTAAACAATAATTCCTCATTCTCCAATTTCTCTGCAAAATGTGAATTAACTTATGTTAATGTGAATTTGATTAGATATTTCACACATGTAGAATCATGAAGTGGTCTTTCTCTTATGAGTTTTTCATTTATCATATTATCATCAAAGTCCATCCATGTTATAGCATGTCAGAATTTCCATCTTTCATGGCTGAGGAGCATCCCATATGCAGGCCACATTCATCCCTCCATTTCTGGACCCCCGTCTGCCACTCTGTAAAAACAGTAGTGTGCTGGCGTCCACTTGTATTGCTTCCACTCCTTGGCCAAGCTGAGTAACACGGTCATGATTGGAATCCTCAAATTCCTTCTGACACAGGCCTAGACGTGGGATTACTGAATCATGCATCAACTCTGTCTGTTGCTTTTAATAAAGACCTAGTTCCTTTTTCTTCTTATATTTACATGCATGTGTCTGTGTGGGTTTATGTGCATCGCGTGCCTGCAGGTGCCTGGGGAGGCCAGAGAGCATCGGATTCCTTGGAGCTGGTGCCATAGGCAGTTGTGAGTCACCAGACACGGGGGCTGGGAACTGAACCATGAACCTTTGGAAGAGCAGCAAATGCTCTTATCCACTGAGCCATGTCTCCAGCCCCAAAGATCTACTTCTTATTGGATAATCTGTAAAGCACCATGTAGTGGAGCCCATACATTATCACAATGTTTCCCATACAACCCCCCCCACCTTACAGATAATACGGGCATTCCAGAGAGAATAACTATTTCCCATGGAGAAGCCCAACCATAACTTGTTCTTCATCTGTCTCAGATCCCCCAGGCAGAGTAGACGAGAACGTTGCACACAGTGGCCCCACATTTCCATCCTCTCTTTACATCTACTTACCTCGGCTGTGCCCAGTGAGGTCTGTAAGCTGCAGGGAGATGCTCTCTGAGCAGAAGCGAGTTCTTCACAGAGCAACCACAAACCATGCGGTGTTGTTTTGTTGGTTGGCCGTCCCCCATGATAATTTCCTATTTATTTAGCAATCATTATAAATTTGATTCAATTCCTGAAAATAATGGGTATTTGATTTGTCTTTGAACAGCTTTCTGGAGTACCAGGTAACCACGGTAGGATGATACAAAAGTGGCCTTTTTCCTTCCCCGTATATTAAAAGGTGAGGATAACAGTTTCACTGCTGCTTTATACTGACTACAGCGGCGACCTGATTGGTGCCTTGGTGGCGTTGAGAATACAACATGAGGGAAGAATTAGTGATGTGCAGGCTTAGGAAGAAAGCTTCATTTGATACTGCTATTTTCTCTAAAATTTACTTTTACTTATTTTGTTGTTTATTTTCGAGACAGGATCTTACTCTGCAGCTCTGGCTGGCCTGGAACCTGCTGGTCTAGAACTCACAAGAGTCTAGAACTCCACCTGCTTCGGCTTCCTGAGTGATGCTGGGTTAAATGTGTGCACCACCACACCCAGCCTATACAAAATCTAACTTTAGACAGAAAAAAAAAGTCTTCCCAGCTACAATCCCAGGAAAGTCAGTTTCTTTCTGGTTTTGTTTTAAAGAACAAGAGGCTAGGATTCAAAAATTGAATAAGTATTTATTGTTCCAGAAGGTACATTGCTTTTTATACATATTTCATAAATGATACAGGATTGTACATGTGTTCGACATTTTGCTCGCCCCCCCTTGCCTCCCACACCACCCAGAGGACTCACTCATTGCACTGTGCCTTTCCTTCTTAAGAACCCTGCACACAAACAGGATGAGCGGTTTAAAAATAATCCACACAACAAAAAGGAACGAGGGAAAGCCTGAACAACAGGAAGGAAGTAGGAGGCTGGGGACTGAGACATGCATCCTCTCGCTCGCTCCGTCATGCCGGTGGAGGGTGGTGGCAGAAGCGGCAGTCCTGGCTGGCCTTCGACCTCTGCAAGGCACCTGGAGTCTAGGTTTGTCATTTGAAGGTTTTCTTTCGTACACAATGATCCCAAAAGCAACCCCTTGCCCCACGAGGAGGGATGAAACGTGTGAAGGAAACAGAAGCCAAAAGCCAATCAGCTGTGCGGCAAGCCCCTGTCATTCTTGCTGTCCTGCCCCCGGGACAGTTAAAAACAGAGGACAGTAGAGAGAGATTTGACTGGCTTTTCAAGTGCAGGTGCCATCTGGAAACACGGTAGAAAACGTTCTGCAGAGTATAAGACTAATTCTTCTGTCTCTCATTTAAGACAAAAAGAAACAGGGTGGAGAAGGTAGGCTAAAGAAAGCCATAGAAAGGTACTCCTGTATAAAGATAATTGCACCCTTTGAGATCCGCCCTGGGTTTCAGCAACTGGAGTGGAGTTGGGAGGGCTCACAATGGTGAGGAAGTGTGTGTCTTAGATTAGCCAAGGTTATCCTGGCTCTGAATCAGCCCTAGAGCCATGATGTTTAGCTGATTTGTAAACCTTACATCCTCCAAGTTTGGTAACACAGATGAACACTGGCCCTCTGACCTGTGATGTGGAAGAAGTGTGGGCTATCAATGGGAGCGGTATACAAAGGAGAGGATCTTTTTCTCCTTTGAAGGTTAATTAGTAAAAAAAATAAAACAAATACAATTAAAACCTCATGCAGTATTGCCAGTGATCTCTAGATAGCCATTCAGAACCCTGGGAGATAGACATGAGAACTCAAGACAACATAATTCAACTGCCAATCATCAAACAGTCCTAAGTTGATTTCAATGATTATTTGGATAAAAGTAGTGTAACCAGCAGGTATACATAAGTAGGTAGCTGGTCAGAAAAGGGATCCGGGGTGGAGAAATTCCTGGTAACTTCACAGAGACTGGGTCCAGCTTAAGATGAAGGCTAGCCTTACTGGCTCAGACTCTGCCAACCACAATTCATAAGGATTTGCTTTCTTATATAGGTATTTATTCCTATGTCAAAAATAAGAAACTTAAATTTAAAAAAAAAGCAAAAAACAAAACTAGAGCTGAGTGGGGTGCTGGTGTGTTAGTGTTTTGCAGACCTTGCAAAGATGCAAGAAACAAACACCCCAACATCACCCTTGCTTCGTTCTCTCAGCTGTAGCTGCATCACTCTCATCTGGAAACGAGATGCTCAAGACAAGACTCACTAAGGCCTTTGCACTGTACTCCGCCATGCCTGAGTCTCAGAATTTAACGTCCCTTTCTTCCCTAAGATCCTTTTTGTGTTTTGTTTTAGAATTAAAGGTAAAAACCCTCTCCCCCACATGGCCCCCGCTTCCACCTGCAATGCTTGGATTAAAAAGGCATGAGTTAGAAACAGGCGTCCTCTCTGCCGGGATTCACGCTCTGCGCAGATCAATCCTTTTCTCCGATCTGTCGGAGGGGCAGATGTACTTGCAATGGGTCTCTCAGTCTCTTAAGGTCCATTTCTGCCTAAAATAGAGACAGCAAGTGAGGAGGGGTGGCCAGTGACACCTGCAGCAACATTCCTGCCTACGGAGAGAGGGAACAGCCGCTCTGTCATTGCTATAGTCAGAATATATATCTGATCTCAGGGGCCCTGAAGATCAGAAGACAAACGTCTTTAGCCCAAGGCAGATGACCACCCTCCCAGAAAAGCAGAATGGCCAGGAGGTATAAAGACCCCAGCCTAAGAGTGCAGGAACCATGTCAGACATCCATGACAGCATTCTTCCATAAACCTTTAGGCGGATCCAAAACCTTAATCTCTGTCATTTAAACTTTGCTCATTCAATTTAAGTATTTTACTCAGTCAGCGAATTTGTTGTTGCTGTTACTGTTGTTGTTTGAGATAGGCCTTTCTATGTAACCCTGGCTGTCCTAGAACTCACGCTGTAGATCACGCTGTCCTCAAACTCAAGAGTTCCGCCTGCCTCTGCCTTCAGAGCGCTAAGATTAAAAGCGTGTGCCATCATGCTCTGCTTGCCTTTGCTGATTTTTGAGAGTCTCACTCTGTAGCCTAGGTGAGCCTCAAACTCACAGCAGCCTCCCTACCTCAGTGCTAGGACTATAGGCCTGAGTCTTCCCAGCCGCTAGAGCAGCGTTAAAAGGACATGCAGTCGATCGAGGCATCCTTAGGACTTGTATCAATTAGCTGTGGGTGGGGCTGATGCACCTGTATTTGTACTGGCTCCAGAGATGACCCACCAGTACCACCCTTGGCTCAGAACGACTACAATCAGCCATAGAAGGCAGCGTGTGCTTAGGTCAAGGTGGGAAGAAGGATGACACCTATTAAAGGCACAATCTCATCAACACACACACACTAGAGCTGGGCAGCCAAACACTACAGAGGATGGAAGGCCTTCTGAGGACGACTGAAAACCTCTGAAACCACTAGAGGAATGGAGAAAACAAAGATTTATTCACCAAACTCAAAGGAAGTGCAGGAATTTGAAAGAGGGGCAGTTTCTGTGCAAAGCATGTGTGTATTTAAAAGGCATCTTCTAGAACGTCGCCTGGCACAGGCTGCCCAGTCTTTCCTCCCTACCATAAGATTTTCACTTTTGTGCTGTTTCAACCCATTTAACTTGGAAGGTCTCTGGGTCAATTATTGTAGAGAGATTAAAAGAAAAAAACTAAACCAAATAAACAAGCAAATAAAAAACACCCAGATGACTCTAGCTGAAAAACAGGCAATTCTGAATAACTGAGAATGAAAAAAAAAATAGCCCTAAAAATTCCAGTATTTGTGTCAACAGGATCGTTGGGAGTCGCCATTTTTTCATCTGCTGGGCACACTGGGGTCAGCTCAGTACCAGTAACCCGGGAGGCTGAACTAGGGGGTCACTGGAGGCAGAGGCCAGCCTCAGGCACACATCCAGACAAGTCTCTTTATACAACACCAACACCAACAACTACAGCAGCAACGGCCAGGGAGCAGCTCAGCTGGCAGAGCATGTGTCTAGCATGCGTGAGGCCCCGATCTCAATCCCTGGCATCTCATAAACCTGACGTGTAATCAGTCCTAGCCCATGGAAGGTAAAGGCAGGAGGACCAGAAGTTCAAGTCATATTAACTGCTACATATTGAGTTCAAGGACAGCCAAGGTTACAGAAGACACTGCCTTAAAACAAACAAACAACAAACAGAAAAATGTCCTTCTAACGAGAAACCAACCCCCTAAAAAAAAACCTTCTAGTTGAGTGTCCATTGCTAAAGGTTTTATTAACGACCTTTACCCAGGGTACAGTGGCTGGATCCCTCCTTCAGGCTGCCCATTTGAAGGTCCATGATCATGGATACTAATGATGCTGTTTAAGATGGGGCTGGGATCATTTGATTTTTCTAGAATTTACCTGAGCAATTGCATCCTTGAGTTGATTGTATTTCTCTAGATCGAAACGTGACTTTTTGGCTCCTTTATGGAAAAATAATAAGTATTGTCTGTCTCTGGCTTCTGGATAAACATATTCCTAAAAACCAAAGGAGAAATTAGCCTATTAGTCCCCACTAGAAGTTTTTTTTTTTTTTTTTTTTAGTTTTTTGAGACAGGGTTTCTCTGGGTAGCACTCGAACTCACAGAGATCTGCTTGTCCTGCCTCCCAAGTGTTGGGATTAAAGGCGTGTGCCACTACCTGGTCAACACTAAAAGTGTTCTAAAGAAATTTATTAACTGTTAGTTAATTATTAATATTGATCAGACTGAACACAATATGTATACATAAAGACAGACCAACACGCCGTGTTACATATTTAGTTATTTCTTAAACATTTGTTTGCCTTTTGTGTTTTGAGATCAAGTTTCCTATGTTTCCTGGGACGGCCTGGATCCTGGACTCAAGTCATCCTCCTGCCTCATCCGTTCCAGCGGCTGGGGCTACAGATACTCGCTGCTGTGCCAGTACTTAGTTGTTCTTTTGTAGCCAGAGCCTATTCATTTCTTACTGCTACGTGGTATTACACTGTAGACTACATCATGGTGTATAGCGTCTATTCCACCACTGCTAAGCTGGAATGTGCTAGCAGGCCTGGACTGAATTTTATTATTTCAAGGAATTTGCCATCGTTGAGTGTGAATGTAGCATATCACTATAACAATTTAGAAGAATTAAGATGCTGCTTAACAGCCATTTGGCTCATGCTAATTAGAGATGGAGATTAGGAAAACCAATATCTAGCACAAGAAATTATGCACATTTAATTCAGCTAATGTTTCTGGTCAGAGGTGTGACCAAACTGTTTACTACTGCTATGTCACAACTTGTCACTTGGGGGCAGTCACAATATTCTGGAAGTCCAGCGGAGCGTCTAACACACAGGACAGACACTGTATTAAAGGTAATGAAGAAAGCACTGCCACTGTGTTCCAGACTAACACCGCAATAGCGTGAAGTCCAGTGAACGTGCACAGAGGAGCGCTCAGTAGCGGTACTCACTCCCCCCACACACCAGCACAGGCTAGCCCTGCCAGCTCAAGCTGGACCAGGATGGCCTTGAATTTACAGCAATCTCCTGCCTCTGCTACCCAAGTGCTAGAAAACAGGTGTGTGGCACAAGCCTAGGTTCTTCGATAGTTCTATTATTATTCTAGATCTAGATTATTTAGTTTTCAGAAATAACTACACATAAATGAAGTCCACAGGGGTAACATGGGGATTTATAGGAAAGAGAAGCTTGGGGGCAGAACACAGCTGGGTTCAGTCCCAGGTCCTACTGTTTCCAGCCTGTAACTCTTATCCTAATGAACCTGACTTCCTCATCTGCAGGGTGGATATATATTTATAGAACTGAGACTAAATAAATGAATGTAGATGTATTTATGCTATCAGATGTAAAACACATGACACGTGATGCACCTCGGGGAAAGGTGCATGGATGTTTCCACAGATGCGAGAAGGCAGCTTAATCTTTTCATAATCAAAGAAATGCAAAGTCCATAGGGAAATGTCCTTTTTTTAAAAAATTTGAGTGACTGGCAGGAATATAACAAAAACCGTTTTTGAATTCAAGGTATAACTGAAAAGTTCTTGCATGTGCCCAATAAATGTGACTCTCATTTATTTCATTTGTTGATTTCCTCAGTCCTCGAGATATACGGTACCATGGTACAATAAGGGAGTAAAATGTGAGTGGCAGCCTGCCTAAGCGGGTGTGCTGGAGCATACCTGTAACCTCGGCACCTGGGAGGCCCAGGCGGGAAGACCTAAACTTCGGGCCACACTGAACTACAAAGTGAGAACCTGTCCCTCAGCGCTAGTAGGGAACTGAGGGCAGGCCTTGAAGCCCCGTTCCTGTTTGTAAAACGAGAGGAATGCTCACCTGGCGCGTCATCACGAAATACGCGTACATGGCCATGGCACTTCCGTAGGTGATGAAATAGGTGACCGGCTCCATGATGTCCCAGGAGTATTCCCACCAGGTAAGCCGGGCCAAGATGCCAAACTGTGTGGCCATGTAGGCCAGGCCACCCCATAGCACCAGCGTCGTCCTCTTCTCGGCTTTCCTGCTGATTTCGATTCGTACCTGGCGGGCACACGTGGACAACCTTAAGGCGCTTGCCTTGGCGACAGTTTATAGTTCTTTTCAGCTGCTCTGCGCCCACCAGGGTCCAGGGCTTATCAACAGCCTGGAGCCAGCGCCAGCAGACATAACCCGCCTCTGCAATAACAGCGCTCGCAGGCACTCGCCAGACCGTCTACAGGGACAGCTGAGATTTCTGTGTGCTTTCTTAAAGTTCTATCCTACAAGTTGGTGGGAATACGAGCGTGAGTTCCACCAGCTCCTCACCCGACTGCCAGGCTAACTTTTGAAGGAGGAAACTGGAGGAAACTAAAAGCTGCCACGCCCTCTTACTGATGTGTCGGCCTCCACCTATTCTCAGTTTTAGGTCAAGTTTCTCCTGGGGCAGCACAGACTGGATTCTGAGCAAACGTGTTCAGGGCGAGATCTGCAGTATCCCACTAGCTGTCTCATTGAGAGGGTCTAACAGCTGAGCGAAGGATACAGGCGACAACACTGCATGACTGTGGCACGCGGTACATAACGTGGTAACAACTGTCCTTGGGAGAGCAAAGGCACAACATTGAGAGGACTTATTCCTTCCTTCAATCCCAATTACCCAATTCCTTAAAATAAAGATATGGTCACAAGTCACACAAGAACGATTAGGTCGGTGAGGGACTGCATAGATGACATGCTCTCATAGGACAGTGTGGTATCCACACGCTTATGGCAATCCACACGCCTGTGGCAATGCTGCTGTAAGCAAACCCACTGTACTGTTAGCACCGGTATGACTCTCGAAGGCAATGCACACTGGGCAATGTATTCTAAACTATTCCGTCTACCGTTATGTTAGAGGCGGTTACACCAGCCTCATATATGTGGGGTCACCACCTCTCTGACTGTATCAAGAGACCACGCTGAGTGAACACCTAGCCCATCTAGGTCCTCACAAATATACTCTGTGAGGGTCTCACAATGAAGTCTCTCAGAGAGCTCTCAGAACACATCCCCATCATGAAGTGAGCAATGACCGCACCTGCGATATCATAAAGACTCAGGCTAACATGTTCACTGTAAAATATTCTAAAACATGGAAAGGAGAAAAGTCAGTCATGGGCCTACGGCTGCATGAGGTTATTATAATCCTTCCAGTTGTTCTTTGTGTATAGTATAAATGTGCACATGAATATAAATAATGGTATACAAATAATACATTAAAACTTGGCATAATGGTCGTGAGATGGCTCAGTGGGTAAGGGTGCTTGCTAGCAAGGCTGATGACCTGAGTTCAGTCCCTGGGACCCACACTGTAGAAGGAGAAAACCAACTCCTGGACATCGTTCTCTGCTCTCCATATGTGCTCACTGTGGCATTTGCATGCCCACAAAGTCAGACATAAATAAATGAACGCAATCAAAAAAACACTGGAACATATCAACACTTTTTTAGGACTTACTTTCCATAGCAATGATACTTTCTATAGTGAATTAAGTTTACACATAGTATTCCATACACTCTCCATTCATAACCTGACATCCAGTACATTTAGAAGCTCTTCTGGTCAGTAGTTGCTCTAGTTTTGGACCTCTGGGCTCTTGGTCTATTACCAAGGCTCCAGACAATCCCCTTGTAAGTCCTCTTTTGGCTCTGATCGGAACGTTTGTATGGCTCAGACCAATAAGCTAACGGACCAATTTGGTAAGTGGACTCAAATATTTCAAAGTGAGACACGGAAACCCCTATGTACTGGGGTTGGGGGGATGACACACAGAAGATCGAGGGGGAAGTTTGAGGGGTTCTCACCTTCTCCAGGGGGGCCAGCTGCTGCTTGAGGTTCTCTAACCTCTCCACGAGCTCCCGCTCCTTGTTGAGCTGATGCTGCTCGATGCACAGCGTGGTGTAGAGCTGCTGGACCAGCGTCTTCACATCATTCAGGGTTTCTGCATTTTCATGGCTTAGGAGGTCTGAAAGAAAGAGGTTCACAACTGTGGTCGGGAGATACTGTATGAGAGAATAAAAAATACCTTAAGATAAATAAATAAAATAACAATTGAACATCCCAGCCAGGAGATGGCTCAGTGGGCGAAGGTGCCTGCCACCAAGGCTGATGATTTGAGTTCATTTCCAGTGAACAACATGGTGGAAGGAGAGAACTGACTCTCACAAGTTTTCCTCTGACTTCCATACGTGTGCAAGTGTGCACATGTGCACACACTCAAAGTCCATGCATGTGCACGCCTACATAAATAAATAAAATGTAATAAAAATTGAATACCTTAAATGAAGAAGTGCTATTCCAAGATCTACGAGACAATGAAAGGCCATGAGGCAAGTCCGTCCATTATGGGAGTCCCTCAGCATTAAACTGAATAACAGTTTTTAAAATATCAGTCTATCAATCAAGGAAGTAAATTCACATGAGGGCAACTCAAAAACTTTGAAATCAATATCCATTACTATATTTTTAGAAGTCCAAGAGCTCTGAATACAGCCATGGCCAAGGGAAATGGGAAGGGTAACCCCCAGTGGTTAGGGTGTGGCTAGGGAGCTAGTCTAGCATACCAGGCCCTGGGCCTGACTTCCCAGCCCTAAAAAACAGTCATACCAACAGACAGACAAGGACAAAACACTTGAGACCCAAGTTCAAAACCAATCAGGAGGGTCAGGGTGAGCCTCATTGCAATTCTTTATTAATTTATTAATTCTTTATTAAAGTCAGTAATTTATCTGTGGCCTTGACATTTTTGTTGATGTTTTCCCATTTAGACACTTCTATTGAAAACATACATAGTGTTTCATTTACAAATGTAAAGGCAATAGAATAAAAACCCCACTACACTGTAGTATTCTTAACACTACACGCCTTCCCCAGCACACCAGCCAACTTCTATTCGATTTTCTTTATCAAAGACTGAGAATAGCTGTTTGGGCCTCAGTATCATGCTGTAAAGGGCATAGAGTTATGAAAATGATCAAAAAGGTAAAAGATTAAATTCTCTGAATCGATATATTTTTATATGGGCAGCAGATGTCTCCAAAAATCTAAAATGTATTGAGGTTCTAATAAAAATTCAGCTATATTTTAAGCTCTGATCAGTCCTTTCCCAAATCAAAATTTGGTCCCAGGAACATGAACCATCTGTTTCCGACATCCTTCAGTATAGTTATCACGAAGTTAATCAATGAAGACGTCCATGTAAGGCAGGGAAGTGGATCGGAGAAAAGCTGATGTGGTCAAACGTCCAACATGGAACCTTACAGAGCTTCAGGAGGTGTGTATGGGATTGACAGCAACAGAAAGAAGAACATTATGACCTCTAGAAGTCGTCCATGACAGCAGGATCCTCCTGCAGCAAGGCTGCAAGCTCTCACGGGAATATGGCTTTACCGTACAGGGACACTGCATCCCATAGCCATTTCTTCTTCCAGAACACTGGTGTGACTTGATGGAACCCACAGCTCCCAACTCCAAGGTCAGGAGCTGGGGTAAAACGAAACCTCCTAATACTACTTGCAACTCAGTTCTCTTTTGAAAATATACATCCTGAAGTTGATATGGATTTCTCATGGTTAACAGGATTCTCTCCCAAACAGTAACCTATGCTGTGGTGGTTTGAAGGAGAATGGCCCCATAGGCCATATTTGATGTTTGGTTCCCCAGTTGGTGGAACTGTTCGGGAAGGACAGTGTGTGGCTTTGTTGGAGGAGGTGTGTCACGAGGGGCAGGTTTTGACCTCCAGACATCCCCAGTGTATTCTCTGCCTCCGGCTTTTGGAACAGGCTGCTCCAACGCCATGCCTGCCTACCTGCCTGCTGCCATGTTCCCTGCCATGATGGTCATGGAACCATAAGCCCAAACAAACCCTTCTCTAAGTTGCCTTGGTCATGGTGTTTATCACAGCATTTGGAAATATGGTTGATATTTGTTTTACAATTGAGGAAATTTCCATTAGAAAATCATTAAAAATGTGTTAGTTTTAAAAAGCATAATCTTCAGGCTATGAATTTTACTGTATAGATTTAATTGATTAGTTAATTGATTAAGAGACAGTGCCCTTGAATTCATCTCATGATCCTCCCGCCTCTGCCTCCTGAGCTGGAATCCCAGGCAAGCACCTCTATGCTTGCGAAACTTACTCTGTATCAGTCCTCCTGTGTCCACTGAGCCTGTGCATACTCTTTTTTCTCTACTAGGTTGATGTTAGTAGAGAAAGCATCAACTACTAGAATGCTAGTAGTTAGAAGGTTCTTTTCCTCACTTCATAGGCACAGAAACACTTCTAAATAATTTTTTAAACTTCTTTTATTATTTTTAATATTTTTCTTATTTAAAATTTAACTTCAGATCTGCACTCCCTGTCATGCCAGTTCAAACGTTTTCCTGACATGCACACAGTGGGGGAGAGCAGATACGGCTGCTACGGCAGACATCCCACTGTCGGGCCACCGCTCATCTGCAGCATTTGCTATCTAACAGCAGATCCAGGCCCAGAACCAGATGCAGACTTCTAAAGACGGCCTGTTCAATACGGGAACCACTAGCCACACGCTTCTGTTTATTTTTAACTATTTGTCTTAAACTGACAAGTACAAAGCATATATATTTATCATCAGTATGTTATTTTGAAATATGTACCCACTGTGAAATGGCTAAATATAGATATTTATTACTTCACGTGCTTTTTTTGGTGAAAAATCTACTCCAAGTGATAGCCGAGAATACAATATATTGTTAGTAATAGTTACCTCACTTGATCTTATTCAACTCCATTTTTTTTAAATCTTCTGACTAACATTTCTGTAACTTCCCACTGGTTAAATCTGTCAAAAGATTCAGTTCTCTGGTCACAGTCATTTACTTATGGATACTATATTCGACAGGGCAGAACCATTACATTTTTAATACTGCAGAAAGATTTTTCTTTTTTGGTGCTGAGGATTGAACTCAAAGCCCTGTGCCAGAAACTTCTATTTAACAACACAGAAGAATTTCCTCACCTACAGTAGAGTACTTCACCGCAGGCCTCCACTAAGATCTGGATGTCCATGGATTCCCAGGTTCCCTAGGGGCTACCAGCTGTCCCACAGTGCCACAGCTTCAGCGCTTCTGACTTCTCTCTGATCCCCAAGCTCCCCTTCAGACCTCTTCTTCAGCTCTAGCTATAATTTCTAAAAGGTCTTTCTCCTGCCATGAATAATTTTATGTATGTATATGGGTACATGTGTGTACTCGTGTATGTGTGTGTGATGGGGAGGCAGAGACAGGCAAAGACATAAATGTGTGTGTACATGTGCATGTGAGTGTCGAACCCTGAACATCATTCACCTTCGTGACAAGGTCTTTCACTGACCTGGAACTTGCCATTGAGTTCGACTAGCTGGTCAGGGAGCCCCAGGGATCTGCCTGCCTCTGCCTCCCCAGTACTGGGTACGCAGCCCCCGTGTCAGACTCTTTTTACATGTGTTCAGAGAACTGCAAGGCAAGAACTCCATTATTAACTATCCCCTAGGCCCCTTTATTTTATAATATTCATGTGGCTCTGCTTCACCGAAACACAACACAAATAGTATGTATGAAACGTTACTATTTGCCTAAAACATGTATACACATTTGCTTGTGTGCCTAAAAAGAGTATCTGAGGAGCAGGGATTCGGTGATTATGTAAGATTATTTTAGACTTTGGGAGCTGAGCCTTAGGAATGTATTATCCATCCTAAACAATAATAACAAGACACTAACATGCTACCACAATGCCTTCCTTCTAACCGTGATTTAAAAAGATCCAGAGAATGGTAAGTTGTAGGTCTCAGAGAGGTGCCATTCTAGACCTGGCTAAAAGTAATCTTTAGGCTCATGCAATGGCAAAGCCTTGGTGGTCTCAGAGCTTACCATTTATTTGTCAGGTTGCTTTAACAGGAATGATATGGCTTAAGGTTCTGTCACGGCACAGGTGACAATAACAACCCCAACCCTTGACCCTGAGAAGTCAGCAAAGAGGAAAATTTTTCTAATGGCTTAGCAATTGTTCCTTGGGTTAAATCATGCATGGCTCTCTCACACACAAAATAATAACGGCATGTTTACCAGCATCTCTGTAGACACCATCGATCCCAGAATAATAATAATGTCAGAGAGATATGCTAATATAATGAGCCATGGAAATCCTTGTCATCCACAAACATAATGAGACAGTCTTAGCTATCTGAGTCCCTAATGAGGCAGCTGTTACCACTGCTTAGTCTGCCTTCTCGACCTCATTCTTCAAATCGCACCACGGAGAAGCGAGGTCTCTAACTTCCCGTGCGCGGCTACATGGGAACGGGCTTGAGAAGTGTCATTCAAAAGGACTCTCCTTAGCAGGCAGAGCCATATCCTCTAGTAACATGGGGTACATTTTCTTCCTTTCCAAGAACAAGAGAAAGGTAATTAGCTATTTTCCAGGCTTTTGTGCTCCTTTCTATGTTCCCGTTTCTGTTTGCGACTTGAACGATGAACAGCTATGGCCATTAACAGGATGTGCTGGACTTGGCACCTAGCTTTCCTGTTATGACATGCCCCCTTGTTCCAACCTCGGATGTAGGCTCTCATTTGCTCTGGCTCAGACACAAGGCTGTCAACACCTCCAGCCTGCTGTCCCATGTACACATGGCGTGTGGCCATACCGGACTAGGCATGAATGAGTCCTTTGTCCTCGGAGCCTGGTGTATATGAACTCATAGTTTATTCAACATTCTGAGCACTTTAGCTCTCACAAGCCATAATACAGTGCCACACAGACAATTCTTTAAAACTATATAGGAAGCCAGACACGGTGGTGTACACATATACGCCAAATAGTAGGTGGGGAGGGGAGGTGGTAGGATTAATAATTTGAGGCCAGTCTGGGCTCTATAATAATACTGACGAAAAAGACAAAAAACAAAACAAAAAATTCTTCAAGAATACTGCCGAGTTTACCAAATTCTACCAGTTTTCTCCACAGATTTCAGACTCTTGACCCCTGAAACTTCATATCCCAGCGTACTTCTAGAGAACCTGGGCAGGTATTTCACACTTTTGAGACACAGAAAAAGAAAAAAAAGTCACTGTGTATCAAAAAAAAAAAAAACCCCAAATATAATCCCTCCTGTGATCAGTTTCTACTTGAGTTTTCCTTACTTCTCTTGAGAGCAGCCTTATTTAAAAACAAAAGCATTTATTTCTGTTTGAAAAACAGTGAGAAGATGCTGGATTGGACATGGTTTCCAGTCTGTACAGGTGTAGACGGAAACCGCTATCTACTTTGCTGAGGGTCACCCCCCCTTCATTTATTCCTTCATTCTTCTTCTGCTGTTAGACAGGAGACTCTGGCCTCCGAATGATCAAAATCCTCCAGGTTTGAGTTATTTAATTCCTTCAACACGGGATGAGCCTGAGTCACAGCGCCTGCCTTCTCAGAGAACATTTACAGAGAAAAAGAAGCGGAGTCCAGAGTTTATCACTGCTGGTTTGTTTGGAGCCAGAGAAGGAACGAATAGGATGCTTTAGGGCACCACAGATGAGCTGACCTGGAGAGTTTTAACATGAGAGAGTGCAGGCAAGGAAGGATCAGGGAGAAAGGCATGCCAGAGGGCAGCTGTGTGATGGGAAGGCCAGCATGGACTAACGTATGACAGAGCCAGCTCTTTTCAGGTGTACTTATTTAAAGAAATTTATACATAGGCATTATGTCGTGGAGGCCAGAGGGTGTTGGATTCCCCGGAACTGGAGTCATCTGCAGCTCTGAGCTGCCTGATGTGGGTACAGGGACCTGAACCTGGGTCCTCCAGAAGAGCAGCAAGTATTCTTAACTGATCCTTCTCTCCAGTTCACTAGATCTATTTTTTTTTTGGGGGGGGGGGGACAGGATGTCTCTGGAACTCACTTTGTAGATCAGGCTGGCTTTGAACTTAGAGATCTGCCTGTCTCTCTGTCTCTGCCTCCCAAGGGCTGGGATTAAAAGTGCACATCACTGCATCTGGCTTAGATCCAATTCTTAAGAGCAGGACTAAAAGGAGTGTCATAGGAGGTTAGTGCGGGAGTAGTGATTGTGAGGGGTAGTAGCAGCAAAAGACAATGAATCTCAGGGCAAAGAGTGAAAACGGCCAACAAAGACAGAAGCTACTCTGGAGCCTGGGATGAAAAGGAAAACCAGTAATACCGAAGCATGCATTTTACATATGTGTGTGTATAAAAAATGACTATTAAAATGCTGCCTTGGATACTGATATTTTGGTGCCCTCTTAAAATGCGCACCAAAGTTGTGTATCTCCCTTTTTTTCCCCACACCAAAGTAAGAATGTGTTTATTGGAAATTCCTAAGGATTCTAGAAGGCCCCAGGACGCAGAATATGTTGATTTTTATATTGCTGAGAAGGCACTGTGTATTCAGTAGGAACCAGAGCTCTCATTTTGAGAGCTGATCTTTTTCCATGAGGGTGATGCCCAGCAGAGGCTGCCATCCACTGCTTCCAGTCAGCCATGTGATCACAATCAGCCAATAGCCTGTCGTATGTAGTACGTGCTGCCTGTGTTTTTGTTTTTAATGCTATGTTTTACATATGTGCATCCAATTATGTCTCAAAAATACCCTGCCATGTGCCCTACATGAGATTATCAGAGCTTTATAATAAAGCAGACTTTTTGTGAGACGATTTTGTTCAATAATATTTGATGTGCTTAAGTTTTGAATACACTTAAGATAAACTAAACTAAAACATAATCTTTGCTGGGCGGTGTTGGTGCACACTTTTAATCCCAACACTTGGGGGGCAGAGGCAGGCGGATCTCTAAGTTCGAGGCCAGCCTGGTCTATAGAGTGAGTTCTAGGACAGCTAGGGCTACACAGTGAAACCCTGTCTTTAAAAATCAAAAAGAAACAAAAACAAATAAATAAAAGAAAGAAAAAGACATAATCTTTGTAAGTCGGGTGTATCAAATACAGTTTATATTTACAACTCCATTGGACTTACTAACCACACTGGAGGCCAAGAAAGATTAGAATAATTGCTTCAGAACTTAAACCGCTAAAGAAACAAAATGACCAATCCCTACCAGTGTTTTGCAGAGCAGAGATACCCTTTGTTTAAACATAAAGATTTCCTTCATCTTAGTCTAACATAGAAGAATATGTCCCTGCCATGATGGATGTATTCCTTTGGAACTGTAAGCTAAAAGAAACCCTCTGCAAGGAAAACACAAGGCTGGTGAGTTGGTTCGGGGGTAAAGGTGTCTGCTGCTAAGCCTGAGGCCCTGAGTTCAAGCTGAGGGACTTTCACAGTGGAGGGAAAGACCTGACTCTGTAGAGTTGTCCTCTGACCTCCACAAGTGTGCTATGACACACACACAGACAAGCACACACATGCTCACACACACACACACAGACACATAGACACACACACAGATATACACTGACACGCACACACACACAAATGTGCACACACACACACACACACACAGATACACATGTATAATAATGAAAAAGAATTTGAAGAGAGAGAACCTGTGTCAGGAGGAACTTTTGGTAAGGACATTCAGGTAGATGAGACGGAATGACCACACTCCGGTATCAAGCTGGAAGCCTGGCTTAGTGCCAAGTCAGGCTCGCTATACGTTAAGTGTGAAGACCACATGTGTGTTTCTCAGGGTTACTTATGGTCCAAAGACCTTCCCACCTTCATAAAACCTTACTAAGGCTGTTTTTACCTCTCTTTGGTGGCCGCACGTGGTAGGTTAAGTCGTTAATGACAAGCTTAAAGTCATCGAGGAGGAGGAGGTCAATTCCCGTGGAGGCAGCAACTCGGACGCCATCTGTTAAAATTTTAAATGGATCTGTTCAGGCACTGACCCATAATTATTTAAGAATGGTCAGAAAAAAAACCCCAAAACTAGCAACATCCCCTACAAGCTCAAATAGCTTTAGAGTGCTTCATCCCATTTGTCTGCTAACCTTTGCCTCATACCCCGGAGGCCTATGCTAAACATAGATCAGCTTGTAGAATGCTCTTTGTGTTTAGGCCGGCTCTGCGGATTTAACAATCGCTTTTCCCGCAGCTGTGGGAACAAGTGAAATAACTGCTGGTCATGGACCCACAGGGCTCAGCTGGACTCTGGAGTCGACTGCGGAGCAGCGTGGACCTTTACACCGGGAGCCGGGAGGAAGAGGCTCAGAGCTTTCCATAGCAAGGTACTTGGCAGACCAGCCACCCACAAGCTGGTAATTAATTCGGTAAGGAAGGATGTGATGGGGAGTAAGCATACCAAATGGGTCGGCCAAGCATATTACTAAAGGGTTTGGAGTGTTTAAGGCACAGAAATTAATATGCCAAGGACGGAAGTTGGTGGCCGTCGTAGCGGGTGGCTGCCAGGGAAAGGTAATGGGTAGTTACTAGTCTCTCAATCTTTCTGTAGGTTTGAAAGATTTTCTGAGTCAAAATGAAAACAATTCTTTTGGCACTTAAACAGATGTTACATCAAATGAGAGTTTTTAGTGTCTTATTGTATAGTCTCAAATCACAGACGCTATTTTGGTAAACATTCAAGGGCTCAGCTACTGGGAAAACACATTCTGCACCTACAGTTATGACAAGAGGCCTCTGGAACATGAACTGTGATTGCCTGCTTGTCCTTGGGATGGCATCGATGTGAGCTGCGTCTGAATGAGACTCCCTGTGGGCACACATCTGCTGACAGTGAACAGTTATGTCCCGAGGACCATGGGGACAGGAAGGGCGCTGTCCTGCATACTTGCAAAGCAAAAACTCCTGTGTTTTCTAAAGTTAGACTGAGCGGTTTGGGGTGAGAATGAAAAGCAGAAGCGACTGTACCTGGCGAGTAGATGGCAACCCTGTCGATCCCCCGATCCTCCTCTTGCAGCTGTCGTAGAAACACACCGACAGAGTCGGAGATAGGTTTGAGTGTGAATTGGCAGCGTTCACGCCGAGATGGCAGCCTCACGGATATCACCGGCAACCCATTCTGATAAACCACCGTCACGTCTGAGCGAAAGGACCCATAAACACACGACAGTTAGGCATTTACTGCAAGTCAAAGTTCTCATCATCATTACTCCTGTTGTGCTGGGACCACCATTAGTACGACTTAAGAAGCTTTGAGGGTTAGTCTAGTCACAGATTCTTGAATGGTCAGATCAAGGGACTCATTTTTCATGTACGGAAAAATGTACAAGGAGCCGTCTTCTGAGAGGGCCAAGGAGAGGCTTTTGTGGAACACAATGCAGGGAGCTCTTGGGATGGCTGAGTCAAGTCCTGGTCCTATCTGGCAAGATTTTATTCAGTAGCCAAAGATGGAGACAATTGGATGACTGGTACAGCCTGTGGGAGGTGTGTCAATCTTGGGACGCAGAGTTTTCGAAAACTCTTCCCAAAATCTATCAATAACTGAGGCTCTTCCTCAGAATGATAAACCAATGCTTAAGGTATACTCTAGCTAAACATTCAGTTACACAACACGATGTGTCATGTGTGGAAACAGAACCCAGTCCCTTCTGGGTGTGTGCACATCCACCTGAGTTCAGCTGGAAGTGAAAGCAAGAGAATTTCCCAAGAGCAATGTATGCAGAGGAGCACTGGTGGCCACCAACTGCGGGACTCGCTACACAGTACGGACAGCAGTCCTTATTCCCTTCTTTCTTCTTTTGGCAATTTCAATGCACAAAGCCTTAGTAAAGTGAATCCCAGAAAACCTTTTCTAAGAATAATTTTCAGATATATTTTTGAAGCAAAGTTTTCAGCTTAAACCCTCACATTAGCAGCTAAACATTTACAGATGATGCCAACATGAGGGGAAAACATAGGCTTAGAAGTAAAATTTGGGATCGGGTCTTGGCTCGGCATCTTTGGGAATTACGTAACTTCTATGGGCTTCGCTTTTTTCCCCCCACACAGACAGTGGGTTCCTAACTCTCAGAGATGTTGTAGGAAAAGAATGAACAAACGCTCAAAACACTCTACACACTGATCACTAGGTGACAATGAGCTCCCTTCGAGAACCAAAAGGGCCTCCTGTTATTCTCATAAGCTTCACACCCCTCAAAATCAGATCAGGAGAACCTGTTCCAGACATTCCAAGAGCATCGAACTTTCCAGAGTTGTCACTTACACCCAAGTTCCTCATCTGTACTAACAGCAAAACCCCAACAATTCTTATTTTCCATGGACAGCGGATGAGTTCTGACGTGCCTAAAGACCAAGAATGTCACGTTTTTCCCTCAGACTCCCTCTCCCTACCTGCGGATCGCTCGGAACTTTGCATCTGCTTTTAGAGCTGACTGCATTTGATTCTGTAGTGCATTACCAGAGCTCTATGACTCATAACTCTTCGTATATGGCGTCCTTCCCTTGGCAAGGATATGAGATGCCTCAATGCTGTATGCAATTGTAGTTCATTCATTGTATTTAAATTACATTTTTAGGTTAACATGCAAAGTAATGGGTTCACCCTGATAACTTCATCCTGCCAACTACTATTGGGATACACAGACCCAAGGCAATTTATCTTCACACCTGCTAATGGAAAGTAGGCTATTTCTGGTCTATCAATAAAGCTTCTGTGATTACTGGTGTAAAGCCTCTGTGTGGAACGTTTCTGTGGGATAGCCCATGGCTATCTGTGGCAGATTCAGCCACCTGCAAATCAGTGTTTGGGAAACCTCTGTGCCTATACCAAACAAAATGTATATTATTCGCTAAGTAATATAATGACCATTTACAAAGCATTCATATTATACTCAGGACTCTAGGTCATCGCTTCCTTTCTGTCCGAAGAACCCCCTTAAATATCACAGCTGCAGAAATGCACTGGCAATGAGTTCTCTCCATTTTTGTATGTCTGAAAAAGTCACTACACCTTGATTTTTGAGAAAGATATTTTTAGTATATAAAAGAAAATCTACTTGACAGGTTTTTCTTGGCACTTTTTTGAAGAATTAGCTGAACTGTCTTGTCTTACATGAAATAAGAAGTTTGGGCATGTTGTATCTTTATTCCTCTATGTGTGATACATCTGCATTCCTGTGTGCTTTTCACACGTCCTGTTTAGTGTGGGTTTCAACGGCTGGATTATGACATGCCTTGTTTTCCTTTATGATTATTGTACACAGAAATGGCTCAGTATCTTGGATGCGTGTATTCACAGAATTCAGCAAACTCAGCAAACATCTGACTGTTATTTCATCTTTCTATCTTCCACCTCTCCCTGTGAAAGTCTGAACTATGTCTGTGTTCAAGCATATGATACTGTCTCAAAACTTACGGAACCCTTCTTCATGTATTTTAGGTTTCTGTCTCCTCTCGGCTCCTGGGTCAGTTCAAATGCTATCTAGTTCAGCACCGTAGATCTTTTCTTCCACACCATTGTCTTCTTGTTAATTCCGTCCATATTTTTTGATTTTGTACTTTTTTGTATCTTTCTGTACTTTCTTTTTCCTTCTGTATTCTGTTTTTAAATTTCAGATAAAAAAATCTTCAGACATTCATTTAAATTTTTAACAGCTTCACTCCTCTTCATGTTCCACAGTTTTCCTTCTCCTCCTCAGTGGAAGGATCACAGTTACAACAGCCGTTTGAACACTCTTGGCTACTGACTTCCTCTCTGTCCTTTCTGGGTCTCCAGGCCGAGTTGGGAGATGTTTCCCTGCTGTTCCACGTCTAGTTAATTTTGCTCACTGGTTATATATTCTCAATTTTGTATTGACGAGCACTGTATTTTAATTAGAGTAAAATTACTTATGCAATAATTTTATGCTTTCAAGACTGACTCTTTCAAGACAGAGGTAGAGAATCCTTTACTGTGGGGGCTACTTCCTAGGTGATCTTTCTAGAAATCTCTGTCTATGGATACAGGTGATGTCCTTTATTCTCGCCAGAGGAAGAGAAAATGATGTCTGGCCTTATCTGGACACTGAGACTCATTCATTTTATATTTCCTGGTAAAAATGATTTCTGAGAAATTTTTTTCTAGTTACTTTTTTCTAGTTCTCATTAGACTTTAGCCAGGCCCATGGGAACCTGTGTGGATTTCAGGAGGCCTTTCGTCACAGCCCCTTCCTCAGCATCATTGTCCCACAATCCCCTGGTCTGTTCTTCATTCCAGTTGGCCAACCTGGACCTGGTTCTTAGCAGCTCTGCCCTCAGGATCACTGTCACACAATCCCAGCTGCCTAGCCAGGCTTGTTCAGCTACCCTGGTCTGCCCCTTCACTTCTGCTAGGGAACCTGGGCCTGGCTGTCCCCTCTGGCCCTATGGGTCTAGAAGCTGCCTCCTGCTGAGAGACTGAGACAATGTAGCCAGTTGTTTCCCTTGAGCTGGGATTATAGGGTCTGCTGCTAGCTATCCAGATTTCCGGAAACAGTTGTCACAGGAAGGTTGTGTGTGTTGCAACTGTTGATAGCAGGGCAGACATTCCCATCAGTGTTCACTGACACAGATACATGATTTGAAATTTGACACAGAAAAGGAATTGAGTATACACTCAAAGGGAACAGGTCAACAACTTAACACACAGCACAGATTTGCAACATCGAAATGTATCAAATATGAAAAGGTTATTATTTTCCTTTCCGAAAAGAATCCTTCCCCAGTGTTCAGAGCCTCTGATACATAAGCAGGCCTGTCTCTTCTACAGATAGCAATGATGGTATCAGAGTAAATTAAGTGATTAACTTATTCATTTGGCATCCTTACTGCAATTATCTTTCTGTTATGCAAAAGACCAGCTAACTACAGATCTCTGAAGGAGGCAGAAGGGAACTTAAATAAAAGATAGAATTCTTCGAGCATTATTCAGCTAACACTTGGAACATTTCATTAAAACACTCCGTGCCTAGAGGTTACTGTCTTTAAAACAATCAAGACAAAGTCAATGGGGAGAAGGAAGATCCTGTGCATCTAGCTTAATGTCTTCCTTTAAAGAGCATGAAGCCCCTTGAAGGAATAAAATAGAAAAGCTTCCGGCAACTCTGCATGGAATACACAAACCTTCATTATAATACTGCTTTGAAAAGAATCCCCAGGCCTCCCTCTCTCCCACATGCTGTATTACAGTGTAAATGTTAGATGTCTCGGTTAGCAACCTAGAAGGACGATTACCAAAGTCTGTCAGGTGTAACAATAGGTCAAGCAAAGGCTGCTTGAAAAGAACCATCACCAGGGGCTGTTACAAGGAGGCTGCAGCACCACCTGCTCTCCAGAAACACGCTTTTGAAGTGGCCTTGGCTCTGACTTCCATATGACTAAACTAAAGAAACAAGCATGTTCACCAAGAGTGTCACTGCAAAGAGACTCAGAAGTCACAGGGCGGCCACCAGAAACACTGAGAGCCAGGCAGGATGTAACGGCAGCTTGAAGCATAAAGCAGAGCATACGGAATTACGGAGGTTAAGAAGGGCAGGGCAGGAGCACTGAACACTGGGGCTGCGTAGATTGGGAGCAAAGCAGCACCTGTGGGCCGGGGTGGGGTGGGGAAGGAAGGAAGGTCTGTGGTAAAACACACGTGCTATTATTGGGTCAAATGTTTAAAACCCAAATGCTTGTAAAACACCACCCCCTCATTCTCCCTCATTCCCTCTCTAGCCGGGCTGGTGATACGGAACACCAGAACTTTCAAGGTGGAGAGAGAGGAATGAGTTCAGTCAGCAAGTTCCAGATCAGGATGGGTTATCAGAGACCTTGACTCAAAAAACCAAGCAAGCAACCAACCAACCAACCAGCCAGGCCATCAGAACCAAACCAATACATAATTTTACACAGCTTGGTTATTGTTCAAAAGAACAGGTAAAAATATTCTCTCTAGAGCAAATGCCACATCACGAACAAGACTGTGTGTGTCTCGAGGGCTCCTTGTGGAGGGAACAGGGGACCAGGCAGTGCCTTGTAAAGCCCTGAGACTGAACTTCTGTGGCTAATGATCTCTCCACACACTGCCTACTTTTGATGACACTCTGCACCACAAAAGTGAGAAATGATTATATGGTTTAATA